GGCCTGCAGTTTGCCGCGGTTTGGTGCCGGATTGTGTTTCCGTAACATCTGCGGGCCTGTATTGATTCTGGACTGGACCCAGCCTTTGACATGCTGCTATTACTAACGGCTCTGATACACAGGCCTGAATCCTCCTATGAATATTATTCTGTTCAGGGTCCTCACCAGGGCCCAGGGTAGCACATTGCATTCTGTGGGGACAGTCACTGTCTTACGTACAGTGATTCAGTGACCTATGAAGTCACCGTTGGAGGAACTTGAGCAGGGCCTCTTAAGTTAGTTCTGTGTCCACAGTGCCACTCAGTGGTGACCTTTTGGAACTGCAGGCTTAACACCAGTTGAAGTGCACACTTTACACAGTCGCAGCTGTTAGCTGGGGTGGTTTGGGACTAACTTCACTCCCCATTGTCTTTCCATCATCTTCCTCATTCACTGACTTTTTTCCCAGAATGCATTTCCTTATCATACCTTATCATCCACTGGCTGTCTGTTTACTACGTTCTCAAATCCCTGTGTGTGTCCTTCAGCCAGGTAACTACATGGCCTGGGGGGTGGTTGTTGACACATGGTTCTGTCTGCAGCAGGTGTGCTGAGAACTCCCAGTGTAAAAGGAACCCAGTACAAGAACACAAGCTTGCATAGCACAAAATGTAGTTTTTGTCCTGCACTTAATACCTGGAAATAAATAAGAGAAAGTAATTGGAGGGGGCTGGTATTTTGGGCATGGGGGACACAATTCAGATATCTGATTTTTATTTTTTTTTTCTTCCTCGGCTGTTTTGCATTTTTCATTCATTGCATTTGGTTCTTCTCTCTTAGTCTTGTACTGTGTAAACCTGTGGCCCTTTGGAGAGACCTGTAACTTCCGTGGTCACATCCACACTTCGAATAAACATTTCTGCTAAGTAAATGTACTTTAAATTTAGAGAAATTTAGAATAGATTTACAATATAAATTATTGGCTTGTTAAATAATTCCGGCTTGTTTAATGTGCAGTTTCCTCGACTCATAAGGGGCTGGGTTATCCACTAGAGGACTGAGAATTTCGTTTCTTTCTGTATGCAGGCATGTAAAGACTGAACCTTACTTGAGACGGCAGGGTGAAAAATGAGGGCAGTTTGCTGAAGCGCACTTTCAGAGCACGCTTACGTGTGCGAGGACAGCAGTGAGGGGGACGCTTAAAGGCAGGGGCGCAATGGCGTAAAAAAAAAATATTCACCTGTCAGTTTCATTCTAACCTCAGGACGTGACAAGCAGAGAATTTGCTTCCTTTTGCAGTTTGCAGAGTGAACTTGCAGGGCGTTTTTGCTCCAAATTCATTTAAATGAACTTTGACCTGCGCATTTGCTTTGCTAAGCTAATCCGGTGTGGCATAGCGGGGTTGACCCCCTGCCTAGGCCTTTATTTTTTGCTCATTTACACTGTTATGATAAAGTTCTTAAAAATAAAACTGTGGGAGAAGAATGCATTTGTTCTCTTATGACAGATCATGGAGTCCATCCCTGGAGCAGCTGGGGGTTAAGGACCTTCCTCAAGGGCCCAATGGTGGGATCACTCTGCCAACCCAGGGATTTGACCCTGTAACCTTCTGAGTCCCAAGCCACAGGGCTGTGCACTTTGAGGCATGTTTAGGTAGTGCGATTAATTAGGATTAATTAGTTTTTTTATGACATTACAGTAACTTCAGGCTGAATCAATGTGTGATCTTTTCCTTAAAGTGTTTCAGACCATTCCAGAACTTGCAGGTGTCTGAGATGTCTACATAGTACCTCTGTTCACTCCTCTGGTGAAAAGTAAAAACAGGTTTACTAGCAAGCAAGCCGGTAACTAATTCTTTACTCATCCATTATCTAGTGGCTGTAAAACAAACAGCACTGAAGAAATGACAGAATTTAAATACATCTGTGTTTACTACCTCCCTGCTTCCCATCTCGTGTTATGGGGGGTCACAGCATTTTGGACTGTTTGTTTTCGTTTTGTCGCTTCTTGGCTTGTAATGTTCTGTGTTCGATCACACCCTGCTGACCTAACAGCGTCCTTAACACTGTTCCCCTCCCCCCACTCTGTGTACCTGTCCTGTGCCGGCACTGCGGAGGGCGTGAGTAATTGTAGGGGCACGGCAGGCTAGTTTCACTTTGTTTCAGACAGTGTGCACCATGTGAAAGCAAAATTGGCTGCTGTTTGACCGGCCCTGCTTACATTCATCGAGAGACTTACTGCGCTGGTTCTTCCTCGGTTAATCGTCGTTTCCTCTGCCTGTATTCTGCCTTCGGGCTTATTGGAGTGTCTGATTAATGGTAGCGCCACATGGACCTCTGGCTGAAACCCCAAGCATGTTTACATGCCTCCGCTCCCATAGGCTTATTGCCTGTTAACAGGAAGTGGGCAGTTTATTTGAATCCACAGACATGCCCACTGAGGTCTTTATCTTGAAGATTTTTTTTTTATTTGAGTTATTCACCTTCTGAAATGATCTTGTAACCGGAAAATAATTGATTAATTTATTAATCATTAGTTTTTTGTAAGTCAATTGGATTAGTAATTTAAAGTGAGTTGGAAATGGCAGGTTTGCACCTGTGATGTTGGGTTCTGCTGGAGGTTACTGGATTGGACTTGTGACCAGAAGGCTGTGGGGTCACGTTACGTTGAGGTCATGGCCTCACTGTGATCTCCAGCGGCGTTGAGCTGGTCAGGGTTCAAAACCACAAACTGTACCAGTGTGCTTGGTGTTAACCACTCTTGAGCAACAGCACTTCATGGCTGAATGGATTGTATATGGTCCCCGTAAACCCCCCCCTGCTCCCCCACCCTTGCCGGCTTGCTCTGGAACAGAACTGGTATGAAGTCAGTCAGTGGAGTTTCGCAACAGTGAGTCCGGCCCCCGTATCCACAGGGTCTTGTGCTGCCTAAATCCTATTAGGAACTACCAGTCGCTGCTGGATTGGCAGGGATTAGGACAGCAGGTCGATCAGGGTTGTCATGGGAAAAGAAGCCGCCCGTTCCGTGTAGGGGTGGTTCTTGGGTGGGGGGAGGCGGCAGGGTGGAACCTTCTTAAACTGCTGAGCCTGGTACCCCCCCCCCCTGAGCAGCCAGAGTAGATTGAAGGAGCCAGCGAGCACAGACATGGCAAAATGGGAATCGAACAGCCTGAGCCCAGCTTTTCTGCTGCCTCACTGGATGGTGAGTCGCGCCTCTTTAGCGTAGAACGCTAGCATGTCGAAAATGCGTGCCTGGGGAAAGCCGCAGCAGCGCAGGCTGGCACGCCGGTGCCGTCGCATGCGGGCTGAATGCATGACCTCGGGGTTAGGCGTGTAAGTGTAAGGAGAGTCTCCTTTGAATGAATGTAAATGCCGGCACCGTTTTGTCGAAGTGTTTGTTGAACGTGTTGCTGTGCGTTTTGTTAACGTGTGATTCTGTTCCAATGACACCGAGGACGGGAGGTACTTGTGAATAGACGGTAGTTTCCGGTTGGTGTCCATTGGCGCCCGCACGTGTCGTCAGCCCGGGCCTGTCGCGATGAAGGTTAGTGCGTGCGGAGTCTTCTCCAAGGTCACAGCGTGTCACCTGTGGAGCTGTTCCGACCAGAGATGTAACGGAGTGTTTGATCTGCTCAAAGCACTTTTTGTTCATGTTCCTCAGATGGGTTACCAGATGGCCCACATGGTAACCAACATCATAACTGTCCATCCAAGCTAATGGTCTCCCAAAGCCTGCCTGAACAAAGGTTCTGTTATCTGACACTGATGCTGACACTGGACCTTCTGCAGCACTAGCTAGAGTGGGATGGAAGCAGTGGGAGGGATTTAACTTGGCCCAGCCCGTCTCTGCCCACCCAGAGCTTCAATTCACATTACATTATTTGTTGTTCAGTACATTATTCTACTCAAAGAGGTGACTTTGACATTTTCAATGAAACAGACCATGCTTTTGGTCTGTCTTGCTGGTGTGAGTGTTGGGGTCCCTGTTAAATCACTTTCATTATCTTTGCTGCCTTAATGTGATTTAGTTGCTCTGAGGCCTGGTTCTTTTGAAGGAATAAACGTCTGCAAATCAGGCTCTTCTAGGCCTCAGAACCAAGCTGTTTGGTCCTTTGTCAGTGCTGTGGTTGCTTTCTGGCTGACCGGTCCGGACATTGCAAAGGAGATCAGAGGGCAGGTGCACGGGACAGATAGGGAGAGCTGGTGTGTGTGGAAGTGGCCCATTTCGCTGGCCCAGGGGCTCCCAGAACCATTCCGGTCAACTGGGTTTTTGAATTCACTGTTTGGATTAGAGAGTTTACGAAGGCTGATGTTGGGACTGCAAAATTTCCACATTTTTCATGCTTCTGCTTTCTGATACACCTAGGTCAAGGTTTCCCAATTCTGCTCCTGGAATCCAGTCTACAACAAAGTGAGCAGCGATATCTGCAAACTGTGCTACACACAGGCCCTCCAGGCCTGGAACTGGGGAACCCTGATCTCTAAGGCCTTCTTAAATTACATTAAATTCCCTGAAAGGGATTTTTTCAAACCACAGACTACCAGAGGTAGGATGAGCACGCCTGTTGGTGTGTTCTAACATCTCCTTTGGTTTAAATTGTGGATGTGGAGCCAGGGCGACTATTATAAATTAATTAAAGTTGTGGATGAAGGTCTGGATGAGTCATCGGCATTAATTAATCCTGGTTCTCTGTGTGAAGCCGCCTGTGTACAGGGCTAGACTCTCGGGTTTACTAATTGAGTATATTTTAAATTCTTGTGGTTGTTAATGGTTTATGGAAAGGTGACTCCCCCCTCCCCCCACCTGTGACATACTGCCTCCTTCAACGAATGGGGCTGGAAACATCATTCATCGGTACTGGTTTACCTGGGGGGTAGTAACAGATTGCCTCACTGGTCAGGTTAAAGGCTTCGCTCACTGGGGTGTCCAGGCTGACCTGCGTGGTTTGCTTTCAGTCACCCTGGCTGCGTTAACAGCGTGTGATGTCATTTTTTTTTTTAAATTGCCGTGTGTCTCCGCAGCAAATCCAGTTTGCTGACCAGAAGCAGGAGTTTAACAAGCGGCCCACCAAGATTGGCCGGCGCTCACTGTCCCGGTCCATCTCGCAGTCGTCCACAGACAGCTACAGCTCAGGTACTTCACACACACATGCTGACCGGACAAGGCGGATGCACGGTCACCTAACAGACACACGGGGGCGCCATAACAGACACACAGACGCATAGATGTGTGTTGAACCCGCATTATGCCAGATTCTCTGCACCTTAGTGTCTCTGACATTTTAGACCGTGAGAAACCAAAGTGCCCTTATCCTAGGGTTATGTACCACATCGTGTTTCATTCATTTTATGACTTGTCTAGTACAGGATCACAGATTGTGTATCGCTATTGTTATATTTCGTTAAGCATCTTGTTAAACATTACAGAGAATTATTTGCAAGAATATAGCTTACGACACCACTAAGCATGAAATTGAAGAGACTTATTTTAATAAAAAAAAAATGTATTTAAAAATATACATGTATACATGTAATATATAATTGACCCTTGCTCCTTACTTGGGAAACTAATTGTTGCACTATATTTTAATGTTATCTATTATATTCTGTTCTATTCTATTCTATTGTTTATTGTATTACTGTTACTATGTGTGCACTCAGAAGGCCAACATGTCATTTCGTTGTGCATATTTTCAATGAAAATTGACTGAGTAAGATGGGGTGGTAACATGGTTAGATTAGTAAGTTTAGACTAGTAAGACTAGTAAGTTTCGTTGGTTGTGAAGCTTAAAGCAGCACAGGTCAGAACTGCTGCATTCTGATTGTCTGATTCTGGCCTGGCGGCCCACGGTCCAGCCTAAGCGGATTAAGGCAGAATCTTTTCATTAAGCTTTGATCCCTGGGAGCGGCTGTACTCTCCGTTAGCCGCTGGGAACGGCCTGTAGTTCGTTAGGGCTCCCCCTGCCAGCCGGGCGCGGCGGTTCGCCCTGGACACACTGGAGTGTCACGTTGACGCCCTGCCATACTCCTCTTAGTCGACCTGACACACAGGCTCATGTGACCCAAGGGACTTAGCAGACGTTCCATTGTGTTTTGTTCTCTTCCTGGCGCTGACTTGCGCCAGTCCCCTTTCATGTTAGCCTTCGATTCACGCAATTTGTTCCCAGTCCGTTCAGTTGGGTGTGCCTCGCAGGGCAGGAGAAAAGCAGAGAATGGCAGGGACTGTGTCATACTGCCCCTGGGATGCAGGGATTTGGGCCTGGCTGTTGTGTAATTAATAGCGAAGTCTGAGGCCTGTTATTATAGTGTCACTTTTTAAAATCTCAGTGTTTCTCAGAATGTCCCAGGGGAGAACGGTTTGGGAAATTATAGGCCCACAGAGCAGATCTCACGCGATATGACGAGGTAAAGCAGAGGGGGGGTGCATTTGTGTTCTGTGGCCCAGGACAGAGAGACTTCCTTTTTATGGATAATTCTGGAAAGATGAGTTCATGTCAAGTTATATATTTTTTTTCCTCTCAGTAGTGAAAAAAGATCTGTCACACAGCTCTGTAGAAGCTTGATTGGTGGAAGAAGTTTGTAGTAAGTTGGATGTGATGTGTTGTGCCCCCCCCCCCCTCCCTCCCCAGCTGCCTCCTACACAGACAGCTCTGACGATGAGACCTCCCCGCGGGACAAGCAGCAGAAGAACTCTAAGGGGCAAAGTGACTTCTGCATCAAGAACATCAAGCAGGCGGAGTTTGGGCGCCGGGAGATCGAGATCGCTGAGCAGGGTTTGTGTGTGCGGGAAGGGGGGGGCGGGGGACACCAGTGGGGGTGCTCTGTCTGTCCTGACGGTCCTGTAAGCTTGTGGCCTCTCTCAGGCCACAGGAAGGAGATCAGTCAAAGAGCAGCATTGATCTCACAGTCGTGCCTTCGACTCACGGTCGATCCTTAAGCCGTGATCTGTGAGTCCCTGCCTTGTGCAGACAATACCTTGTGGTGATGTTGGTCGGCTGTCTTTTGTTCCTCGGGACACGGCCGGCCGCGTGCGCCTGCTGGGGGAGTCTCCCTTTCCTGGGGAGCCTCAGCTGCAGGGGCCAGCCTTCGAGCGGCACAGGCTGCCAGGGGTCAGGACTCCTGAATCATACCGGGGGCTTGTTGGTGACTGTGTGTGTCTTCTTGTTCGCTGACTCTTTTGGGGCAGAGATGCCAGCGCTGATGGCCCTGAGGAAGAGAGCCCAGGGGGAGAAACCCCTAGCTGGGGCCAAGGTGGTGGGATGTACCCACATCACTGCCCAGACAGCAGTAGGTGTCTCAGTGCTCCTATTCCCCTGCTGTCCCCCTACTGGCCAACTTAAACACTGCAGCCTCATAGTAAAGCCGTTAGCATCGAGTCGCTAATGCGTGCCCTTCTCCATAGGTTCTGATGGAGACTCTGTCTGCCCTGGGTGCCCAGTGCAGGTGGGCCGCCTGCAACATCTACTCCACCCAGAATGAGGTGGCTGCCGCCCTGGGTGAGGGGGGTGAGTGCACATCGCCACCTCACCCACCCCCTCATCCTAATCTGCCCCCCATGCAGACTTTAATAAGATCCCCCTCCCATCCACAACCCCTAGGGTTCTCGGTTTTTGCCTGGAAGGGGGAGTCTGAAGACGACTTCTGGTGGTGCATCGACCGCTGCGTCAACGTGGAGGGATGGCAGCCCAACATGGTGAGCCGCGGACGTCCATATCCGCGCACAGATAATATTAGATAATATTAATTGAATAACCTCCCTCTCCCCGGTTTTCCAGATTCTGGATGATGGGGGCGACCTCACCCACTGGATCTACAAGAAGTACCCCAACATGTTCAAAAAGATCAAAGGAATCGTGGAAGAGAGTGTAACCGGGGTCCACAGGTGGGCTGACCCTTTACGGTAGTGAGGGAAGCACTCGACGCATGCAGTTTTTTTTTTGTTTTTTTTTTAGCATCTCACAGCCGTATAACACCAGCATAACATAGTCTCTGCCCTGGGGCTATGGCTCCATCTAGTGGCCAGTGGACATTTGATCAGTTGCAGGATCTTCAACATTTGGCCTCAGATCTTATGCCAGTTTAAATATCATAGCGGAGTGTGTTGTACAAAAAAAAAGAGAAACACCGAACGTATTGTTGGTAAGGTTTCCAGATAACTAAATTCAATTTGTGATGACAAATTGCTGAATAACACATGATTGGTTTGGGCTCAACATTAACATTCAGAAATCTAAAGCATGGTGCACTGTAACTGTAACAGTGTTTTGTGTAAGATCCTGCGATCATCAGAACACCAGGAGAGCTTCTCTCTCCCATCCACAAGCTCCCTCCATTCTCTTGTGGCCATTTTTGTCACTGGCCCCCCCTGCCACCCCCTATGTTTGCCATGTGTCATTTGGGCTGAAAGTTCTGGGTTTTAGCTTAAATACTTTTTTTTTCTGCTGAGTTGTGTTTTAAGGGGTATTTTCAGAACTCTTCTGGGCATTTTTATTTATAACTGTGGCTGTGACCTTCCCTTGATGCTGTGTACCAGGCTGTACCAGCTCTCCAAGGCCGGGAAGCTGTGCGTTCCAGCCATGAACGTCAACGACTCGGTGACCAAGCAGAAGTTTGACAACCTCTACTGCTGCCGGGAGTCTATTCTGGATGGGTGGGTGTAAGATCCTGGATTAGCGCCCCCCTTTGTGGAGAGGCCATCTGGCTGTGGCTTCGGGGGTCACGGCATCCTACACACGTGCTTTTTGTTTTGTTTATTTTACCCTCAGCCTGAAACGGACCACGGACGTGATGTTCGGGGGGAAGCAGGTCGTGGTTTGCGGGTATGGAGAAGTAAGTGAGCCGACGGCAGTGTTTCTGCAGTGTCCTCCGTGATGCGCGACTGCAGTGCAAGTAACACTTGACAGCTATTTTTCATTTAAAGCAGTATTCCCGATGAATCCCTTCCAGCGGTTGTGCGTTCTAGCTCAGTGTTTCTGAACCCGGTCCACGGGGGCCCCCAGACAGCCCACGTTTTTGCTCTCTCCCAATTCCCTGAGCTAAAACGTGGACCTCCTGAACATCCCTGAGCACTGGTTTCAGAAACACTGTGCTAGATGATGCTAAAGTCACTCCCAGAGAGGAAAATAAGCTTTGATATGTGGAAAGCACTGTGGAGTTTAAGCTTGACAGGTCTCTGTCTGCCCGAGCGCAGGTCGGCAAAGGCTGCTGTGCTGCTCTGAAGGCCATGGGCTCCATCGTCTACGTCACGGAGATCGACCCCATCTGCGCCCTGCAGGCCTGGTATGGTGGGGGACAGGCCGGGGTTGCCTAGTTCATACTTTTCCGCCTGCCGTCATGATCCGTGCACAGTGGTGCGTGCACGCTCTTGTGTGCACGTTACATTTGAACACGGATGGTCACAGTCGGCGCATGCAGGGTGGATTTATTGGAACAAATTAATACAAGCAATGTGCTGAAATAGTTTTAAAGGTGTTACTTGACTTGGGCAGTATTACAGTAATATGGGGGTATTTTGAGATATTGACAACAAAATTAGTGCCCCCCCCCCCCCGAATAGCGTTGATTTTAAAAATACAGAGGTACCTCTGCACCTTCTCGTATGGCTACTCACCATAACTGCGACTACAAATACAACTGTTCTTCTTCTCTTTCCTCGTTGACCTCTGTGAGAGTAAGTGCTGCCACCTACTGGGAATACCTAGGCGATTTCCTTGTATGTGCATAGTCAACATGCATAATGTCCGCCGGAAACTAAAATCCGGGCTACACCCCCGTCGCCCAGCTCCCACCCACTGAACATGACATTCACGCCGCTCACACTGTGCACGGAGCATAAGTGCACCTGGAAAAGTGAAGTGTGAATGGGCTTTTAGGCTGGGTGTGATGAAAGGGTGATGGAAGTATTGTTTCACTTTTTATAAATGGGAGTCATGTGACTGCTAGACGTCCTTTTTAATAGCTGTGCCCCCACTCTCTCCCCCCAGCATGGATGGATTCAGGTTAGTGAAACTGAGTGAAGTCATCCGTCAGGTGGACATCGTCATCACCTGCACAGGTAGGTCCCTCACTGCTGGCTCGTACCATTGGTCGTCCTGAGAGGGGTGTGTGTGTGTGAGTCCCTTTGCATGTGACCCATCTGTCGTGCTGCTTTTTCACTACAGGCAATAAGAACGTGGTGGTGCGGGAATACCTAGACCGCATGAAAAACGGGTGCATAGTCTGCAACATGGGACACTCGAACACGGAGATTGATGTGGTAAGTGTGCGGTCTGTCAGTGGAGGGCGTCTTGACCCATGCTGCGACTCTTCAGTTAACTGACAGGATCAGTTTGGCAGCGTGGCTGCTGGGATGTTTTGACGGATGCCTCTCCTCGCCCCCCCCGCCCCCAGGCCAGCCTGCGGACGCCTGAGCTGACCTGGGAGCGTGTGAGGTCACAGGTGGACCACGTTATCTGGCCCGACGGCAAGAGGATAGTCCTGCTGGCAGAGGTACGAGTCTGAATGTGCTGCCAAAGACATGCACTTCACACATGGGGATATGTATGGGGGTGGGGCCACGAGGGTACTGCCTCCAGCCAAAAGCTGATTGGCCCTCAGAAGTGCCCCTCCCCTGTCACTCACAAATTCAAATCTGTAAGCATTTTGGGTCTTTGCGTAGTGCATTCGTCAGTGTCAGCTTTCTCAAGCGCTTTGATCAGAGTGCTGTACAGCATAGAAACCAGGAAGCACTTAATAATGATTTTGCCAGCTCAGCCTCGTGTGCCGTCGGTTTCAAGCAGTCCTGAGGGTGGTGATTGACACCGAGGCCTGTTTTTACCGCTGCTCTGTGACTGCATGTTTCCATGTGAACGTTTCCACCCCCAGGGCCGCCTCCTGAACCTGAGCTGCTCGACGGTGCCCACCTTCGTGCTCTCCATCACCGCCACCACACAGGTGAGTTTTGTGCGTGTCACTAAAGAAGCGTTCTGGAGAGCGGTAGGGCTGTCACAATATCAGATTTTTACTACACGATTCTCGTGGCCAAAAGAGTTCACGATAACTAAATAATCACGATATCCGGGCTTTAGCTAACGAGCGCACCAGCATATTTATGCCCAGAAAAATTTGTCCAGTCACCGGCTTTTCTGTTACAGAATGAACAGTGTGCTGAAAAGTTAGCAATCTGTATAAATTCTGCGTATCTTTATGTTTATTAAATTTGGTTAGCGGAGCGCAGCAAATGCTACTGTTTTGATAAATCGTGGAAGTGGTAAGTATTGAAGTGGAGGTGAAGAAAGGGACAGCTCACAGGCAAAACATATTTAAAAAGAGGAGATATTGTGGATAAACAAGGCAAAAAGACATCTGGTCTGACGGTACTTTTTGCAGTTTAAAGTCTGACACGTTTATTAAGCATAAGGATACGTCAAATTTATTCAGATTGCTTACTTTTCGGCATCGCAATATGCATCTCATTAATATTTTAAGAGTACTACTAACCTGCTTACCAAATTGTGGGCATAAGTACATGGCCACATAGTACTGAAAACCCGGTGTCCGGACAGATTTTGCTGTGGGTAAATACGACGGCACACCTATTATCTAAAGTCTGGGATATCACAATTATGTCGTTATCGTGAATCCTTTTAGCCACTGTAATCGTGTAATGAAAATACATATCGTGACGGCCTAAGTGCATGGCTTGTGTGTGGGCATGCCAGTAGGCTGAAGGTCTACATGTGTGGATGTGGTGTTATGGGGAGGGGGGGGGGTTGTGGTTTTGTAGCTTTAACTTGGACCTAAGCTGCAGGGGCCAGTTGCTTATTTACAGTTGATAGCATGTGACTTAATGGCTTAAAATGACCCAATTGTCCCCAAGTGCCTCTCATGTTACAGTCACACCCCTCTTCTGAACTGCTCTGGGATCTGCACTCTCTCCTTGGGTCAGGAGCTGTTTCTGAGCTGTCAGGCTAAATGCAGACGTATTCACTCTGTCTATGCCTCAGTATTTCCCAGTCCGGTCCTCGGGGACCCACAGTCGGTCCATGTTTTTGTTCCATCTGAGCTGCCTGCTAGACAGTCCACATTTTTGCTGCCTGGGAGGGAGCAAAAACATAGACTGTCTGTGGGTTCCTGAGGACCAGATTGGGAAACACTGGTCTAAGTGATGAGGGCCATTCCTGTCCCCCACAGGCCCTCGCTCTGATAGAGCTGTACAATGCTCCTGAAGGCCGCTACAAGCAAGACGTCTACCTACTGCCCAAGAAAATGGGTAAGACTCATCATATTGGGAGGGGAGGCATCCATGACCACTGAGAGTGTGCATGGCTTGTGGGGGGGTGAGCAGTACATATATAGTCCACACCAGTGTTTCCAAATCTAGTCCTTGTGTACCCACAGACAGTCCACGTTTTTACCGTGAGCTGGGAGGGAGCAAAAACGAGGACCGGATTGGGAAACACTGATCTAGACAGCTATACTAACCTATGGTCAGGGATGCACATAACTGGGGCGCACGTGCGCATTTGCCGTATAAAGCAATACGTGCAGCAAATGCGTATGTATTTTATGTGCATTCTCACTATTACAACAGGAAATTGCCGTGGTTTTTAACCTTTATACTGCAAAAGGAGTACAAACTAGCCATATAAAGGTTAAAATGCAGGGTAATTTCTTGTTAAAATAGCATGAACTCACATAATGCACATTTTCGCTGCTACAACAAGAAATTGTCCCACGTATCGCTTTATATGCTGAATGCGTACTTATATACCAGCTACGTTCATCCCTGCCTGTGGTCACTCTATATACACTGAATTGCTAACTTGATGATAATTTGTAGTACTACCTACAGATTAATGTGCAAAATAATGTTAGGGTGGCACAACATTATACAGAATCTTACAAATTTTTAGCCACAATGTTATGGGCTCCAGCACAGCTCGTGATGGTTTTGCCGTAAAACATCACCGAGAAGGTAAAACATGACGAGCTGTTCATAACTGAGAATGGCTCTTCTGATGTCAACATGAAGAGATTCCTGATGTGCGTTGACATGTGACCCCCCCCCCCATTGTATATAACGAGCATGTGCTGTTTCAGATGAGTACGTCGCTAGCCTCCATCTTCCCACATTTGACGCACACCTCACCGAGCTGACGGAGGAGCAGGCCAAGTACCTGGGCCTGAATAAGAACGGCCCCTTCAAGCCCAACTATTACAGGTGAGCACCCCTGCTGCCCCGCGGCCATTACACAGGAGGAGCTGAGGTTAAATATCCGCCAAGACTTGACACTGGGCCCTTAATCTGTAGCAGGGGTGAGGAACCTGATCCATGGAGAGCCGGTGCGGGTTTTTGGGATGACCTCTCAATCAGCCAATAATAAAGCAGCGGTTCTCAACTCAAGTCTTGGGGACCCACTGTTATTGGCTGATCAAGAGGTCACCCCAAAAACCTGCACCGGCTCCCCATGGATCAGGTTCCTCACCCCTGATCTACAGCCTTGGCCAAGTGGTTTGTGGATGGTTACATACAAAAGAGGGTGAATAGTATGTAGCAAAGTATTTATGTGACATATTAATCTAACCTGACTCTTTTTTTTAAGGTACTAAACTGGTGCGAAACTGGCAGAAGAATATAGGGAGCTTGGGGGGAAACACAGACTTCACAACTGTACAGACCATGAAACGAGGAGAGAGGAGGTCATTTTTTGCCCTGCCATTTGAGTGGGAGGACCTCTGCTGTCTGGGAGTGGCGTGCAAACTTGCCAGTTTTTATTTAACATAGAATATTACACTCTAACCCTGTGAGTTGGTCCTGCTGCTTGGTCTCTTGGGATGGAAGACGTATCACTTCACAGCACATTTTCTGTCACCCAGCCTGTCGGTCACCATAATGTCACTAAGTTTATGTATAAAACTAAATTCTGTCTACAAAAATGTAAATAAGGATGAATGAGAACCTATGATGATTTTAATATCCATGAATCTTCTTTTATTCTTTGGATCCTCAGACTAGGGTTTCGGGGATTCAGTTTTATTGGTTTTATTTTTATTTTAGAGCCACGATCAAAATTCAGATTCCCCCCCCCCCCTAGTGAAGATGGTGGTTGAAAACTAGCGGGGTTCCTTACCCCAGTCGATCAAACACTAAGCCAAATCTCTGTCTGCATCGTACTACCTACCTTCGGACTTCCCATTGTTTGTGATTTAAGGATTACCAGCTGTTCCAACGAAGCGGCCGTCACACTCGGACCTTTATTCATACCACAGAAGCTGTGAGTTTCACTTTGTTTTGCTTTCTGTCTATGCTGAACCTAGGGACACGGTCTTGGTATTATAAAATGGGTGTATATTTAGATTTTTATATAGAAATTAAGCCCTTTCCCCTTATGCTTCCTTTATCATTTGTTTTTCTTAACCTTAACAAAAAACAAAATATTATAAGGTGTAATGCATATGTACTGAGCTGAGAAGCAGAATCGTGTAGGGTTTGGCCTGGTCGTGGGCTCTCTCTGGGTCAATGGGTACTTAACGGAGGAGATATTGCTGTCATACTGCTATACAGGTTGGCTTAAACCAGTGCGGATACTGGAGGGGCCATTTTATCGGAAATGTTTTAATATTATGATTTGATATTTACACATATAAAGAGTCTGATGTCCCTAATTGGTCTTTTGCCAACATGGGTGGAATATGCCCTTCATTTCAGTGTATTTCTGACCTGCTTTTGATTAGTTTGACCTATGAACTTTTCCCTTTTGTTGGGGTGTGTCCCTGTGTCATTGACACACAGCATCTGATGCTGATTCCATCATTAAAGGCAACTGGAAGCCAGGCATTCCAGCCTAGTTTGGGGGGAACTTTGTTAATAAACAATCTACTGCATGGGATTAAGAGCCGGCAAAAAGTCACAAGAAAGCATCTGTTTTACACTCTGTGGAATCTATGAACATGGCAATGATATTTTAAGCTTCATTCACTATTCATTTTTCTATTTATAGGGCAAAATGTTACTCTTAATAAGCAATCAGGTGTTGTGTTGTATACTAATTAACTTCCAACTGAAGATCATTGCTCCGCCCCCGACCACATTGACCTGGAAAAATTCATCCCACATAGTTCGTGTCAAGTGTCCATAACCATAGTTGTTCATTCATTCTCAAATCTGAGCTTTGCTGACTTCTCCTGTTCACGCGTACAAGCCCACGCCCTCCCGGTTCCAGGTGTTTCTAATATGTCAATCGCAAACACCCAAGTGTTGCTGCCGTCTCCAGACTGCAGCGTGTGCGTCTGAGAGGAGTCATCTGGCACCATCATCAGAAGGGAGGGTCGATCATCACCACCTTGGGCTGGTTATAGACAATATGAAGAACAAAAAAAAGAGAAATGTCCTGTATTTATTGTTGTAAATCTTCAGTAAAATTACAAAATCTGATTTTAAGTTGTCTAAAAAAATGTTTTAAATATTGCAAGTGATTATGGTAGCAATAATGAATCTGTAAACACAATAAAATATGTAAAAATATCTGGAATCTCTGACAATGAGTTTGGACTTGTAAGAAAAGGGATTGTGTTGGACCTCCCAAAGTACTACCTTCTACCTGCTCTTCAATACCTGCCACTGGTAATAACAGGTTTGTCCACAGAGCAGGTATTGTCAGTCATGCACACACTAGGCCTGTGTTTCAGCTTTCTTGAAATTGCTGATGTTGCAAATCAAGCAGGCTGAATTTAGCTTAACTCAAAATTTGAATTTGTTTGCTGGAGCTCTGGGAGTGTGCGTGGATTTATAAAGCATTGGGGATTCCTGTTGGCATTGGGGATTCCTGCTGTAGATTATTTTACAACCCCCTCCCCCACCCAGATACCCCCCGCTACCTGCATTAATAATTAATTTGCAGTCTCTGTGGAGCTTTAAACAGATGGCGAAAGATCAGCCTAAAGCGCAGGTTCACGAGTGCTAATGGAACGGCAGGACCAGGGATGACAGAATAGGAGTTGTTTCTTTTTAATGAAAAGCTGTTTCCTTTAATGATTTACATGATTAGGTTACTGAGAAGCCGCTGCAGCCATTAGGAAGGCAATAGCTGGGGGTGTAGGAAGGATTTTAGCCCACAATATAAAATAACTGCACTTCCACATTTCACACTGCTGTTTGCTCACTGTATATTGACTTGTTTTGCCTGCCACGTGCATGAAATTTTTTTTCCATCTTGGGGGGTTTGATTAAAAAAAACAATAACTTTTTTCCACCTACTATGTACTTTGTGCACAGAGGCAATAGCGGGAGAAGCGAGTCTTACTCTCAGCATATCCACAGTATGTTCTAAGTCACTGCAGTATCACATGGATAAACAGGTATTCTTAATGGATGGGCAGCTAGAAGAGGAGAACATTGGACAGACCCATGTTGTCACAGCACATTAACCTAATGCATGGTATATGGGAAAGGCTCTTGATGAAGGGGATGGTATAGTGGCTCCCTGGCCTCTCAGATTATTCTCCATGTGTGCTTGTTCTGTATATGTGTTGTATTCGTTTATTCATTGCTTGTTAGGTTAATTGGCATCCCTATATCACACGTTAACGTGTGTGTTTGAGAGTGAGCCCCGGCATCCTGTCCTGGGTGCCCCCCTGCCTTGTGCCCCATGCTGCCTGGGACGAGCTCCAGGACCCCTCTGACCTTGACCAGGAAGAGCGGCTGGAAGATGGATGGGGGGGGGGGTGCTTAGCCATTCCTTGATCTGCAGCCACTTGGGGGGCAGCGGTTGTGGTGTTCAGCTGTCCCTGCCAGTTCAGGGTGACCTAATCCTCCTTGACAGCATGCCAGAGCCCTCGGCCCAGCAGTGACATAGCAGCCTGGCAGAGCTACAGTTCTAATATCAAGACTCACAGACTTGTTATTCTTGAGCTTATGCTAACTTCAGTCAGAGGATGGGCGATGGAAGTGCTCAGGCAGTGGCTCTCAGCTGCCGATGTGTTAAACTCTACAGTTACAACTGTAACGCTAAGAAAGAGCTAAGTAAGGTCAGGTACAGTGAGCCTATCGACATTCCACTATACTCCAAAGCAGCCATTCTCAACTCATGCGAAAGGATCGCGAGGCCGAGTTGAAAATGTAATCATTTTAAAACTAGCATGCTCCTATGCTGATCCACGATCAGATTTCCCAGCCCCAATCCTAAATTAACTTATTTAAACAGGTCTTGGGTCTGCAAATGCTTAGCGCAAACCTAGTGAACACTCAATCAATCCAAGAAGCCAAACCACAGATGCTTCATTTAAGATTCACTGGCACATCCAGTCAGATTTGTGCGATAGGCATTGATTGGTGTAAATTGCAGAGTGCACTGTGCGCTTGATCATAGTGTTAATTTAAACCTATAATTGATATAGGGTCACGACTGAGCTGGCATGGTAAAAAAATTGGGTCGCGGTGCAAAAAAGGTTGAGAGCCACTGCTCTGAAGTCCAAATAACTGACCAGGAGTGAAGAAGAAAGGTAATCATTGATGTTTCCACTATCTGGGTAAGAGGAAATGATTGTTCACCCCTCTGAAAATAAGGTACTTTTATTTGTTTTTCACATATCCTCTCTTGTTCTCCTACATAACACAAAGACACATATTCTGTACAGCTGAAAGTGGATCTTGGGGTCCGAGCAAAGGATTAGCCATTAATCCAACACCGCCGGAGCAGCTGGGATTAAGGGCCATGATTCAGGGCCCAATAGTGATATGATCGGTCCACTGGGATTCAAACTGAATGCCATTATGGGTACAGATACAGGTTCAGGAACCATTTGGTTGCATACTGTTACTTAGGTGTTAAAAGCGATTCAGTGCTACCATTGCACTCTCATGTCATCTGCAACTCTAGGGTTTTAAGGGATGCGATGGTTTGTTAAACATTCTGCTTTCAGTGACCCCTGCTGTGATACTCATTAATTTTAATTTTGGCCGCCAATGAAACCACTGAACATTCTGTCAGCACTCCCAAAAGATGTGTGCTCAGTGGAATAGTTAATGCATTTTAATGGGGCCCGACTGAGAGAAAGTTCATTAATTCATCTTGTCCACTTATGTTGCAATTAATGATTTGGTTCAGTGAACCATACTGGTCCACGGTGATTTATTCTTCCATATTAATTTATACGGTGCTTACCTGCTCTCAAAATATTTTAGCTGCAGGAAGAAAATCAAGTTATTGCAGGTGACACCCTAGTGAACGGCACGTTACGGTTAAATCAGTATGCCATAATTCCGTGTTTATGATCCGTCCTACCCGGAAGATTCCAGAAACCAGGATGCAAATCATTCTCTTTTATGCCTGTGTTTTGAATACCACTAAAAATCCAACTGAGAAACCAGATCCTGTTTCCGATGCTGATTCTTTGCACAGGCGGGGGCGCCGCTCAACTCTGCTGATGTAACACGAATAAGTATTTAATCTCAATTTTGCCACTGAAATAACCGCAAGCTTGGATGTTTAAGCGTTATAGAAGATGAATGGTCGCTCCGGTGAGATATTTCGCTCTATACATGGAATAAAAGTAAAAAAAGGTTTTGCTCTGTTAGCCCTATTCCATTGAATGGGCTTGCTATAGATTTGTGAAGTAAATGTACTTGGTGTTTTTTTATTTATTTACTCAATTCTAATTGACACGTCTAGTTCACAACCTTGAGCCAAATGGTACGAGTATACTGGGCAATTAATAGCGCTCCAACACATGTCCGACTCCTACGCTGGTTTTCCTTCACAGACAAGTCCGCTGTCCACTGTTCAAATGCCATTTACCTTAAATCACGCCCACCCTGTCACCTAATCATCCAATAATACTGGTGGGGACGGGAATCGCGATCTTGGACTCGGTAAATGGCTGCATGTGCGGATACCACTTTCACGGAGCGCCCGATCCGGAGCGAGTTAGCACGGAACGAAATGGAGGTACGGCACCTGATATCTCATATTAATAACGGATACGTGCTCCCGAAGTGTGAGAAGTGCTCGGCAATCAGCGGACAGCTTATGAGGGGAGCCCGAGTGATCCGTGTCCAATTAGGATATTTGTGTGCGTACGGAGGCACAGACGCGCGGCGCTGGAGGAGGTTTGCACCGATCCTTTAGATCTCCTGTAGAAAAACCAGCTCAATCTGACTTGATATTTGGTGACAGTACAAGCGCTAAAAATACAAGGATGAGACCACCACATGAAATGTAATATCACAGCAGCGCCCGGGACAATTTTCTGATAAATTTATGCCTAATCTAATTATATAGTGATTTTAAAAAACAATTCTGACCAATGACTTTCTAAAGTAATCCCTCGGCCAAATGTGCAGGGGTAATGTGAAACCTGGGTTCTGCTGTTTCCCCCCTGTCAATGTTTATCCACGGTACGGGTGGCGAGAACTGGATGAATGAACTGACGCGTAATTTATTATTTATGTCAAAATGTTTTATGTGAACCATCTCGGATTCAGATTTGGTTTATCTGCTCGTGATGACTTATTTCAACACGCGAACATATTGTGGTAGTATTTGTCTATTTATATACTGGATGTTTATTTCACCGAATGAATCAGAGTTGCACGTCCCCGGTCCGCAATTTTTACATATAGCACATGTATTTAAACGACTTTAAAACCTGACAAATACTAACATTGAAATGCTAAAAGACAAATGTACTCTGGTATTAACTCGTCGTTTCCACTGTTTTTTCCTAATCGATTAACTGATGGATTATTAATTAAAGCATTATTAGGGTAACATGGGTGTTTTATTCCGTTATGGACCGCACAACCTTGAAATACATGTAGTAGGCTATGCACAGTGTGCATCGAAGGACATTTTCATATATTCGAATTATTTAATTCTGAATTTAGTGACGAGCACATAAATGGTTTATGGAGAATTCGGTTTCAGAATTATTAATTTTCTTGTAAATTGGGGAATCATATACAGGTATTTGAAAGGCGGTCCATGTAGAAGCACTTCCTCACGCCTGTCAGTGGGGACAGGTTCACCGGCCCCGCGGCCGGGGGAAATCGCAATGCGCTTGGGCGGCACAGGCGATATCCCCGCTTGTGTGCATACAGGCTGGATGCAGGTCAAACACACTTCATTTGGTGGCTGTAAATGACGCCGTGTGGGCAACGGCGCTTCGACGCACGGTGGTCCTTCTGAGTAAACTGTTGATTTGTAACAGGGACTTTGATATTGGGGGGTTCAACGTAATAAGTGAAATTATTGTGGATTTTTACATTTTTTTTGTGTGTGGGGGGGGGACGGGGACGTCACCCCCTGTTCCTACGCCCCTGTTAAAAAGAACGCCTTTTTAAACAGTGATAAATTTAATTGGTTTGTTTGATATAATTATATAATTAGTTGCATTATTCCTGCATAAAACACTTTGACCTTCACTATTAGTTCAGTTCTGTACTCATTCATTCATTAGTCTATTTATCTATCTGTCTATCATCTGTCATTTCATTCTTTCCTTTAACTGCTTATTTGTAAGGAGAAATGTAGGCACCAAATCATGGCAAACGAACTTGTGACAGATTTTTGGGAGTACTGATCCAAAATAAATCACCATCATCATGGTCACACCCCTATTTCTGGTGAGGATTGTGGTAGCAGTGCTGATCATGTCAGACCAGACCTCTCTTTCACAGTCACAGGCTGTGTGCTGTTCTGGTGGATCCCCAGATGTTCCCAAGATAACTTGGAGGTACAATCTCTCCAGCATATCCTGGGATTACCTAGAACAACTCACTTGGGGGCTGAGCAGGTGTCACCCATTTAGGATTCACAAACCACCTCTCAGTCCAAAAGGATTACTTGCATCAGAAAGGCGTGAGCCTACTCTGATGACTTGTGATCACCAGAGGCATTGTCAGAGCCTGGTTTTGCATTCATTGACCTGATCCACCTGTGAAATCCACTCTCTGTATTTCCAGCTCTTGCGAACAAGATCCTGAGACACTTGTACTCCATTGGTGAGGGCAGATTCTCCCTCCTCAGCCAGTATCATGCTCATTCCTGCCACTTCATACTCAAATCGTTTGAGCGTGTGCTGGAGGTGCTGGTCGCATGAGAATGGAAGCAAAATCTCACCTGCATGACAGGGATGTCACCTTCCAGGCTGGTACCCCTTTATCATGTCCATGAAAAGCACAATCTGGAGTGAAGACAACACTCTAAGTCAGTGCTCCCCAATCTGGTCCTCAGGGACTCACAGTCGATCCAAATCTTTGCTCCCACCCCCCCTCCCCTCTGATGCTCACTGTCAGACCACATTTTTGCTACCAGGAGCTGGGAAGGAACAAAAACGTGGGTCCGGATTGGGAAACACTGCTGTAAGTGATAAGTATGCAGACACAACTCTTACTATATTCACACAAGGACTGTATAGCATCAGATGTGGCCATGGTACCCCAAATTCCTGCAGAACTTCCTCGAGTATATGCCAGGACACATGGCGAAGTCCAAGTAGAAGTTTACAAAGCACATGTAGACTGCATTAGGATATTGCCACAAAAGGTGATCCACTGGTCCACAGCTACACTGGAATCTAGAGAACTGTGATCCACCTATAATCGAAAAACATCCCCTCATCTCCCATTTTAAAAATAGAGACAACCACTAGTGTTTTCCAATCTAGAGGTGCTTAACCTTCCATGCACTCAAAAGACAAGTGCCAACAATGTTACCCCAACAGAATCCAGTGCTTTTGACATTTATGGAGGAGTTTGCTCTACCGCTGTAGCCTTTCCGTCATGGAGGACTCTGACCACCAAAACAGCATGGGATCCATCAGAAGTTTTCAACATTGTCTGCTTTTAATGTAATTAGTCCACTGGACTAATGGGATTCCTCAAAGAGTACCCCCTCCCCCATAAAATATTCCCAGAGTTGGTGTGAAATATGAGAGTAAGCCAACATTTTTTTCCAGTGTAATGCCAATCTGAAATGGTCATAAGATAATTTCTCATAAGTTTCTCTCTTAAATTGCGCCCCCATAACAGATGTGGGGGGGTATACCTGCTATAAGGCATGTCATGCTTCTCCTTGTGGGCTGCAGGCCGGTGGCCAGTCTAACTGCCAGCTCTCCTTCTCCACCCTGACCACAGGTCTCTGCTATAGGTTTCACCTTTTGACCAAAGTTCGAATGGGGAGGCAAATTTTACAGTATTAAATGATTCAACTTGATGGGTCGCGTCCTCTCGGTCCCCACCCTGCATTTGTCACTGCGGTTTCTTTTAAATTTATTCATCTGAGCTGACAAGGTGCCCTGTACTTGCTTGGTGTAGGTATGGTTGGTGCAGCGCTTGCAGAATTGAACACCAGGTTAATCTGCACCAACGATGTAACTAAAACGATGTAACTAAAAATTTAATTTTTTAATTTCATAAAGACATGGTAATTGGTTCCCGCAGAAAAGAATCGCATTAAGGGGGGAAACTGGTCCGGCCACAACAATATCAGAGGTTCTCGGTGTGGCAGTAAGCCACTGCATGGTTTGTGTTCCAGGGCTCCGTGGAATCCCCTGCGCTGGAGTTTGAGTATGGAGACACGGATAGCTTCACAACTGAGCTGGCAGGTAAAGTATTCTCTGTTAACAACCACACCACACTATGGCGATAGTTACATCATATGTATATGGCACATTTGCTTAGCAGCCTTTCAGTGAACAGAGGTTTTTATACATCTTTGCAACTGTGTAATATATTAGAGCAATTTCTTAGTATCTTGCTCTAAGATATAACATAAGGACTCTATGAAGTGTAACCTTTTGGTCAATGATCAAGTTGTTTAGCCATGGTGGCCCTTGCAGCCCATGTTCTGATACTGCGTGTTGCTATGGTTTTCCACATGGTGAAAAGAAACGCTTGGTAGGGATAGCGCATGTTTGTAATTCAAGGTGGGTGGGATTACGGTGGACTGTCAATGACAGACTTCATATGAGCTAACATTCGGTCCCCACTGTGTTAAGATATATAATGACTGACGGCATACTGTAGTCCCACCAGCTATGGGTTGTGAAGCCTTGTCTGTTCCATCTTTTGCCTCAGTTACGGGGGCAGTGTTCTGGAAGCAGTTGTGCAGAGGTTGAAAATACACCTTTCTTCCTATCCCCAGAGCTGTACAGTTACACAGAAGTTCCAGAATTCATCCTGAACAGAGACTGCTTTGAGGACTTCAGGACTGAAGGTACCACAGGCACTGAGTTATTCTCTAAAGGCTGTGACTCACCTTCTGGCCTTTTGTGGACCTCCTTGCGTTTGCTTCTCTTCTTGTTCTGGGACGGTTTTGAAGACGTCTTTAAGGCACTGGTTCATTTCTTGCACAATGGCCCCTAACTTTCTGTAAATACCTGACCCTACAGCCACCAGGGCCAGAAAGTCTGTGACGTGTCCTCCATCTGTAGAGAAGTGAGCACAGTCCGCACAGCTGAGGTGGTCTGTGTCTCTGGTAAAGGTGGACGACCATCCCTCTGTCCACTAAACAAATTACGGAATTAAACTGAGAAAATGTGTTATTCTATGGGTTATTTTAAAAACAAGAGTCTACTAAGGGCAGAAAAAGGGCTATCCAACAGAAATTACATTCCATACCTGTGTTTAAAATCAAAGGATGAAGACAAAGAACTCAACTACTGCAGCCATTTGATGAAGTCAATTAAAATTCGTCTAAAACATCAGTCAGATAAATGGTTTATCCACCCATTTATCCTGTGTAGGGTCATGGGGATCTGAAGCCTATTCCAGAACTATAGGTGCATGGCAGAGAATAACCCAGGGCAACACAGGGCATCAACCAATCAGAGTTCACACATGCATTCACTCCTACAGGGAATTTGGCAGGTCTGATTCACCCTAGCATGTTTTAGTTGGGGGACCACACAGCAGGGATTCCAACCCTGGTCCCACAAGTGTGTGGCAACAGTGCAAATCACTGCACCACTGCGCTACCCTTGAAAAATTATTTACCCAATGTTGAATGTAAAACTGCTGCATTGCGTGGACTAAATAATATTTGGGAACCTACAGGGGTTGGACAATGAAACAGAACCACTGGCTGATATAATGTTTGAGGTTTCGCACCTATATATATAGCCAGCCTTCACTGATTGCACATTCCACCAATAAGAGCAGAGTGTGAAGGTTGAATTAGCAGAGCAATAGCAGAGCTGTATATAAAATATTGCAATCCACACAACATAATGGGAGACATATCAGAGTTCAAAGAGGACAAATCATTGGTGCGTGTCTCACTGGTGCATCTGTGACCAGGACAGCAAGTCTTTGTGGTGTATTGAGAGCCACAGTATCCAGGGTAATGTTGGCATACCGCCATGAAGGATGGACCACAAGCAACAGGAGTAACTGTGGACGCAAGAGGAAGCCGTCTGAATGGGACGTCCGGGTACTAACCATGATTGTAGACATAATAAACATAAAACCACAGCTGCCCAACTCACTGCAGAATTAAATGCGCACCCCGACTCTCCCATTTCCTCCAAAACTCTTCACTGGGAGATCCACAGGGTCGATTTTCATGGCCGGACTGCTTTAGCTAAACCTTTGGTCAGTCATGCCAATGGCTAAAGTCGGTTTCAATGGTGCCAGCAGTGCAAATCTTGGGCTGTGAATAATGTGAAACATGTTTTGTTCTCTGATAAGTTCATCTTCCCTGTCTTTCCCACATCTGGGAGAGTTTCGGTGTGGAGAAGCCCCAAAGAGGCTTACCACCCAGACCACTGCGTACCCAGAGTGCAGCATGGGGGTGGATCAGTGACGGTTTGGGCTGCAATGTCATGGCATTCCCTAGGCCCACTAACTTGTTCTAGGTGGGTGCGTCACTGGCGAAGACTGCTGAACTCTTTTGAAGGACCATCCTCACCCGGTGGTTCAAACATTGTACTCTGAAGGTGGTGCCGTGTATCGGGATGATAATGCACCAATACACACAATAAGCTTGGTAACAGTGATTCTATGACATGAAAGTGAACTTAAACATCTCCCATGACCCGCACAGTCACCAGATCTGGATATTATTAAGCCACTTTGGGGTGTTTTAGAGGAATGAGTCAGGAAACATTTTCCTTCACCAACATCACATAGCGACCTGGCTACTGTGAGAGGAATGGCTCAAAATCCCTCTGCCCACTCTGCAGGAAATGTTTCTGTCATTAATAAGATGAATTAATGCTGTATTTGCCTCAATAGGAGGCCCTACACCATACTAATACATTATTGTGGTCTAACATTTAGGTGTTTCAGTTTCATTGTCCAGCCCCTGTACATAACCAATCACATAAATAACTTTATTAAAAGTTAATGCACAGAAGTTAATGTCATAAATACATACATACATAATAATGTGAAGATTTTCCTGCTCTCAGTAACCAGACTCAAGCACTGTATCCCTGTAGCCCTGGAATAAACGTGGCCTAAGATCATGGTTGCCTTCCCTTGTCTGTCATGTCTGAGTTGATGTGTAAATCAAGAACTATCATATGACTCAAATGCAGAAGGAGAGTCACCCCCACCCCCAGTCCCTCCCCCGTTGGGATTCATTGTGTGCTGCCTGCTTGATGGTGTTGCAGCAGATCTGTACTTTGCAGATGACCCAGCTGTTCTACATTCACCAAGGTCTGTTATGACAGAGGAAAACATCCTGAAAACCACTCAGTGGTCACTGTTGTGGGCAGGCAGGCAGTGGGTCCTGCTCACAGCTCCATGACCATGGGTTTCAATCTAACCACAGCAATGTATGAGGAGACATTGTTTACTCTGTGTGTGTGTGTGTGTGTGTGTGTGTTTTTCAGGTCCCCACAAAGATCTGTGAATGCAATCACAAAACTAAAAATGCTAAAAGTCTCGTATTTCGCTTGGTTAATTATGGATAGGGTTAAGGCTGGGTAGGGGTTAAGGCCGTCATGTCAGGATTAGGAGGTCAGAGGTCATGAAGACCTCATTTCCAGACTGCTGTGTAACAGAAAGTGAACTTGAGGTCCCGCCGGTGTTCCCTTGAACGCTTGAGTGTTCCTACTTTTAAAAATGTTTCCCCACTAATGACTTTCAACAGCTCTGGGGAAATCCACCTTCTAGATTTCGGCTCCGTGTCTTTAGCTTGGTCTGGCCTCACAGATTAACACACAACACTGAGTGCCTGTAATGTCCAGTCCTGCTTTGGGCTGCAGTCTTTGGCCAGGGAGCTTTAATGAGTATTGCTGAGCTCAGCTAATCTTTCACATGTGAAGACGAGTTCGAGCGTCACAGTAGCACGGCGCTCTCATTCATATGACCCCTCTGTCTCCCCTCCCCCAAGTGAAGGAGAAGAGGTGGACTGAGCTGGGCATCGTTGAGCAGAGGGCCTATGTGATGCGGCTGCTGGACGCCTTGGAGGTCACCAACAAAGACAGGAGGCTGAGAGTGACCCGTGCCATCCTTTACTTAGCCCAGGGTGAGTTTTTCGTGTGTGCGTGTGTGTGTGTGTGTGCGCATGCACATGCTTAAATCTCCCCCTGCTGATTCATCATGAATCCCCCCCCCCCCCCCAGGTGTGTTCAGTGAGTGCAGTACAGAAGCGGACATCCTGCACTGGTCCAGGCACAACATCTACCTCCTGCTGAGCATGGGCACTTTCACGGCGATGGTGGAATTGCTGAGCATGGAGATGGAGTGAGTCGCCATGTGGCCCCCTTTCCCCCCCCAATATGCTATTGCCACACTTCCTGATTGGTAATTTTGTCACTACCAGCCTTCGCCCCCCTCCAACCTCCCGCTTCTTATGAACATCCTTATACTAAAAAGCTCTAGAGCTAAGCCATCTTTTCACGCTTCTCACCCACAGAGGAACCACATTAAAAACATGCTGTTATAATAGCTTCTCCAAATTTGATTTTGGAGTCTCTGCTTGACAATAGGATCATTCATACAATACCTGTACTGTAGCACTGAGTCAAACATCTTCTAAGTCATTGCCAAATAACTCTAGTCGGTGTTGTAGGAGCAGTGTTGTAGGAGCAGTGTTGTAGGAGCAGTCTTGTAGCGTCTGACAAGGTGCCACGCTCACGAATGGCACGTTTAGGTCATTTGAGACATTTTTCAAGCTTCCGTTTTGCACTGCAAGCTTCAGGTAGATGAACTCGGTCACTCCCAAATTTTCACTCCACGAAGACCCAGTGGCTTTCTCATTCAGAGCCGAAGGAAGCCAAAGTCAGAGACCCTCCCCATTCCCCATGCCTAATGGTGTGACCTCCTGACAGCCTTTCAACACCCCCCCCCCCCCTTATGGCGGTTCAGCGGAGACACTGAGGTGGCAAGAAAGCAAGCAAGCAGCTGTGGAGTGGATCCTGTCCCATGCAGGAATATTTTTAGTGTGTGAGGCAGCAGACCAAGGAATATTTATAGTACCATTTGAGTCAGGTTCTGGAGTGGGTTATGTCACGGCTTATGAGGGAACAGCCCATCCATTGGAGACCGTGGACCATGTTTAGCTAAACTCCGAGCAGCACTGTGACCAGCCTCTCAATGCGACTGGACCAGGTATTTCCGTTCCATGGTCCCATTGAGTTGATATAGATCTCCATATTGCCTCTCCTCATTTTTCATCCTCTGTGTGCATTGCATAGCACCAAGGTTAAACAAATGGGCTTGAGACTGAAATATCGCCACTTCAAATCCCATATAGGTGTTTGTGTTGTGTCTTTGACCCTGGAGGAGATTATTCATGGTTTAGAAACTTTGTAGAGAATTTTTGATTCTCCTGTGCTTTTGGTGGGTTCCTTACTGTGTTTGTCCATCATCCTGCAGCAATAACCAGGCATGCAGTAATGCAGTGAGTAAGCCAGCCATCTCCCTGGTGGACAGCACAGAGCTCAGGTGAGACCTGAAACAGGATCGGATTGGCTGGGATCATGCTGAGCATTCCCCAGTGACGTCTTTCCGAATCGCGCCTGATTGCTGCAGGAACAGCCATCCTGGTTGCTTTCCGGAGATAATTATACATAAATCTGCTAGGATTTCTGCTCTTGATCAATTGCTTATTGTTATGTAGTTTATTAGTGTGAAGTAGCACATCTTGTTTTTCGCCCACATGAGATGTATTTCCAGCAAACATATGTTAGCAAAGTCAACATCGTCCTCCAATCTTATATAATTACTGGAGAATACATATTGTAGGAGCTTTCATGTTCTGGGATGATGATCATAATAAACCACTTAGGAAAACTCCGTCACATATTTTTACACTCTGTGAATATCATGACCATATTCTGAATGTGTGAAAGTAGGCTAGTCTTCCTTAACATGTCCAACACTAGAATAGCTTACAGCTGTACATTGCAGTGAACTGGATTTAAGTTCTGAGGCAGATAATTAATGAAGTGATTTCTTTTAAGTCCTTTGCTGTTGAACGCAACATGGATTTACCATCCTGCGGTTTCATCTTGTGACCTTTTAATTAGAAACCCCACATTATTTAATAGCTGCCTCCTGCTGGTCTTGGCGTGCTCTGGCTCTCCAGGGTCCTGCTGAACGTCATGTATCTGATGGTGGAAACCGTGCGCTCAGAGGCTGAAAACGACAAACTGGAGTGGAAGATGGCCAGGGAGACCTTCAAGGTGGAGCTGGGTGAGCAACCGTCCACCTGCCCAGACACGGGGGGCCGCGCTGCCTCTTCGCACTTGAACAACACAAGCTTCATTTTGCCTCTGTGTATCATAGGAGAATAAACAGACAGATGTTTAATTGACACTTTAGCGAATATCACTGGTGGTTGTACTGGAGGGTGGTGTGTGACTCACCAGTGATAGATTTCTTCAGTGAAAGCCCAGGGTCTTTCAGAGTCGAATGATGACGCAGGTTCCTTAAGCTTAAGCAGTTCATTAAGACAGAATGAAGATGTTACAGAAACGGTTGGTTCAGTGTCTGCATCTGTCTCTGCCCCCCCCCCCCACCTGAGGGAAGCGGGCCTTTCTCTATGGTCTTCTTACAGACTCCTGGAGCCAGGGGGGGTCAGACAGCCTTGGTAAGAGTGAGTTGTATGAGAGGCAAAGAACATGATGAGGAAGCAAGTAACAAGGACAGAAAGAAATATAAAAATGAAAATATAAAAGAGATAAATGAATTAACTAAATAAAAAATAACTACAAATTAACTAGAGAAATCCCTCACTGGGATAGGTCATGGGTTCGAATCCGGTCCTGGTAGAATGGTCACATGTCCATTGGGCCTTTGAGAAATGCCCTTAATACCCCCTCCTCCAGGGGTGGTGGATAAATGGCTGGCCCTTGTGCTTGGACCCCAGGCTTTGTCCCCAACTGTGCGTGTGTGTGTGTGTGTGTGTGTATGTCATAGTTAGCGTTAGCATTTTTCCCATCGAAATGAATGAGCGGTCCCCATAAGGATATGTTTACTCTACATGTGCGTGTGTGTATGTGTGTGTGTGTCAAAGGAGGGAACAGAAGCATTCCAATGCACCTGTATAAATGGCAAATAAAGCAGTTTTCATTACTGTGTTACGGCAACTGTGCTTCAGTTAAAGAAAACACAGAGCTTGTTCTTTCGATATTCGGGGTGTTAGGTGGGGGTGGAGAGACCGGGATGATGAAACCTGAGGCTGCATGTTAGATTATTTGTTTCTTTCAGTGCCTCAAGCCCTGATCACCACCTCCCACCCACTTGGCAGGTTCCTCGCTGCACAATGGCGAGCCCTTTGCGCTCATGCTCTTCGGCATGATGACAAAGTTCTGCAGCATGAACGCCCCTCACTTCCCCATGAAAAAGGTGCTTCTGCTTCTCTGGAAGACGGTGCTGGTCAGTCTCGCCGTGTTGTGCTGTTACATTTATAGAGCTCATCATCAGTTACTCACTCAAAGGCTCTTGAGCCCTTGGGAAGTTTTTCTGACGTGACAGATGGGGTTCCGTCCCGTTCTGGAACATGTTAATCGTCGGCAGTCTTCTTGATGAGAACTTGGGAGTGACATTATGAGGGGAGAAGGATGTAATGTGGGAATGATTAATGATGCTTAGCCACAGGGAAATTGTCAGTGTGCTCAGCGGGATTAAGATGCATTTACTGGATTGAGTGTGCGCATGTGCTTCCAGTTCACCCTGGGAGGCTTTGACGACCTGCAGCAGATGAAGGAGAGAAGTCGTGAGCAGCTGGGCCTTCCCCCGCTCCCGGAGGACAGCATCAAGGTGGTGCGTGCCATGCGGGCGGCCTCACCCCCCGCCTCCGCCATGGAGCTCCTCGAGCAGCAGCAGCAACAGAAGAGGGGGCGCCGAAGTCGCAGGGTGACTTTCCTCTCCTCTTCTCAGCAAGCAGCACCCGGTTATGTGACTCCAGATACCCGATCCGCAGGCATACCTTAAATAAAAAACCTGCATCGTAGCTGAGATTGTACTGGGTGGATTGCTGCAGATTTGCTGCAGTTTTATCAGACAACCCTAGAACTCACACCTGACCACCGTTCAGACTATAGCTGGTAGGCGAAAGTCAACGTTTTGAATGTGAGCACCGTGATTCCACTCTGGTGACATGGGACTCTCCAGCACCAGGCTGCTGAGGTTTCCACTACAGTCCAGGTCAGTGTTTCTCAAACTGGTCCTCGGGAAGCCCCTGACAGTCCACGTTTTTGCTTCCTACCAGGATGGACAAAAATGATGCTTCTTGAACCATTTGCTATATTTTTTGACCCCACTAGATGGTGCTCTTGGTTTGCTTTGAGGCATGCTTTGTGCCCTACAGTGAGCGCCATCTACTGGGGTCAAAAATACAGCGAATAGATCATGAAGCATCATTTTGTCCATCACTACTGACTGGCTGGAAGGGATCCAAAACGTGGACTGTCTGGGCGTCCTTGAGGCCCGGACTGAGAAACACTAGCCAAGACCATATCTTCAGAGGATTTCAACTTTGCTTTTGAACACCTCTTCCTTCTATTTCTACAGATGGCCTTTCTTGATAGCTTGGAGGGAGACATTCACTTTTCCAAGAAGCAGGTCTTTCACCACGCTCCCTTTTGTGCACTCGTTTTCTGGGCTGGTCCTGCACCCTTTTGTGTCCATCTCTACCTACTCTTTCTCCTCCTGTTTCTGCTCTGCCTCCATGCAGGCTGCATTTTTTTAGTCATCCCCGCTGCTTCTAGTCTCTCTTGAGGTTTGGCGAGAATGGAATAGGCACCAGCTTTTATTAGAAAAATGGCTGTTCCGCTGGAGGATGGGCCCCATGTCACCATTTCTCTTCCACCGTTAAGAAATCGCCATGGCATTTAATGCTACATCAATGCAACCCATGCCTAAGGCTTGTGTTATGGTTGTCTGTCACTTCTTTTATTTAGCTTGGTTTGCTTTGTTGTTTTGGATAAAAAAAAAGGCCTAAATGTTAGCAGGAATTCATAGTGGTTGTTTTAGAAATAAAACATTTTTCCAAAATTTATTTTAGAAATCAATTAAATGCTAAATATATGAGCTTACTGGATTTTATAGGACTTTCTATTCTGTTGACTTGTCTCTCAGTCCAGTTCTATAGCCAGTCAAATGAGGGTATCAAATTACTCATTTATGCTTCAGAATAATGTATTGCATCAGAATTAAATTTCTTCTCTGAAAGAAAATGTGACATTCCCCGATCTTTCATAGTCGTTGTTGCACTGTGATGAACATGAGGGGGTAACAGTGAACGCCCAATGTGGGTGTCCTGCACTAGCCCCGTTTCCATGCAGACCCCCCAGTCTGCATTCAGTCACAATTTCCAGGTGTTTGGAAACACTACTAACCCATTCAAAACAAGACAATTTCAATAAAATCTGAAGGTCTTTTTCAGCCTTTAGCTATGTCAGATTCGATAGCACATGTGTCCTTCATCCAAAATGGACCATTGTCTGAGAGCTGCTTTGGGGATGTCCTGTTTTCCCTATAGCTTAGGAAACCAGACAAGCCACTGCCAGCTTTCATGTGAGGACTGTGTGTTTGCCTGTCTTTCAGCTCCTGGTGAAGCAGGACAGCCTCGACACGTATGGAGAACGGGACCCCTTCAAGAACGACGAGGTGAGGGATGAAGAAGATGACGGTGAGGACATGGACAGCACGATGGAGGCCGAGGTGGACCCCCTGGACCGTGACACCATCATCCAGCCTCCACTGCCACCTCCACTCCTTCTCTCCACCCCTGCTGAGAGGCTTGGCTTTCCGAAGGGCCTCCCCTGGGCACCCAAAGTCAGGTGGAGGCTGTTCCTCAGATATCGTTGCCCCAAGCAGACCGTTCCTGCTTCGCTGCTGTGTTACGGGGTCTGCTGTTGCAGTGCATGAGCTTTCTTTCTCCCAAGGTCGTAACTTCTAGCGCAGCAAATGAAGGGCAAATGTAGAAGGTAAAATCCCATTAACTGTATGAGACAAGCTGAGTGTTAGAGCACCAAAGTAATGTACAGATGTAAAGGTTTGCTAGTGACTGGCCATATTTCCATAATGCCATCATCAGTCAGTCACAGACATATTAAATGTGGACCTTCTCTAGCTGGCGTCCGCTGAATGTGCAGAAGTTACACCGGCTTGACAAGTTCTGTTTTTGTACAGAGAGAAAGACATTTTGCACTTCCTGGAGACAAGCAGGAACAAATTCATTGGCTTCACTCTGGGAAAGTAGGTACTGCGTCTTTGTCAATGGTCAGTGCCGTGAACAGCAAGTCATCTTTCATTAGGTTTAGGATTTGTGCTATTACAGAATTAGCATAAGCAGCACCAGGCCAGGGAAATATTTCTGGAGAAGAAGGAACAAAAATGGAAAGATTGAGAACTGGGTGTTGATTAACTTTGACCCTGTCTGCAGCTAAGTAATTACTGTTCAGTCTCCCTCTAAAATTACCCTGCAATTCTCCCGCTGTTGTTGAAATCCCTCATGCTTGACAGTAAGTGAAGACCTGCAGTAGAAATGGACTGATTACAGACCTAACATCTAATGAAAAAAGAGTAGAGGTGTGGTGCTTTAAGTGAAAATTCGTCAGCGTCCCCTTGGTGTAAGAACACTTTTAACACTATTATGTCATTCACTAGTACATCATGTTAAACAGTGAAAAGTACAGAAAAAGTATGTTTTAATTGCTGAAAGCCACTAGAACTGTAAAATGTTATATCAGCGGGATCAAGGAATAGAGACGGAGAAAGATGGATGTGGAATTTAGCTTTACTGTGAGATCTGGGGTGTAGTTAGGCCTATTTTTACCCCCCCCCCCCCCCCAAATAAATGTACACTAATTAGTTTAAATAATGTGGGCCATTTCCATCAGACCCCCTAATAAAGGCTTGAAGGCGTAGCCCCCTCCCCCCCTTTCATAAATCTCTAGTGTTGCTGCTGTCTTGGATTACGGCATGTTGCCTACTTACATTCTCCGCCCGCTTGCAGTACCTTAGTAATTTTGTATCAGATGCCTATTTTTGACCATTGTTCTGCTTGTGGGATTGTCCTGCAGTGACACTGAAACCTTGGTTGGTCTGCCAAGGCCCATCCACGAGAGTGTGAAGACTCTCAAGCAGGTAAGCTAACTCCTACCTCATCTTTCACCTGAATATTAAAAACCCATAATGCTGATTGAGATCCATCAAACTAAAACTAAATCAAGCCCCAAAATATTCTCAAATATATCAACCTGACCGCCTAATTAGGTCCATTCCAGTCTTGTGTTCCCTCTAAGATCCCCTTTGGTGATTATATTGCATGGGCAACATGGTGGAGCAGTGGTTAGTGCTGTTGCATGCTAAGGTGAATTGTAGTTGACAAATTGTCCGTAGGTATGAATGGTGTGTGTGTGTGTGTGTGTGTGTGCGCCCTGCGATGGGCTGTCGCCCCATCCTCAGTTATTCGCTGCCTTGTGCTCGTAGCTTCCAGGATAGTCTATGGACCCCCGCGACCATCAGTAGGACAAGCGGGTATAGAAAATGGATGGATATTGTATTGCATCATGTGACACAAAGAGCATTATGGGAGAACTTGTCTGCCTGCTTTTCACAGCACAAGTACGTCTCCATAGCGGAGGTACAGATTAAAAAGGAGGAGGCACTTCAGCAGCGTCCCATGACCACGGTCAGTAATGGCCTCCGTCTCTCTCCCATTGGCCTGCCAGCTTCCACCCATGACTCAGTCTGCTGTCTATTGGTCAGGGTATGGAGGAGGTGGAGGAGATGCCTGTGGAGATCCTGTACCAGCGAATGTTGCCCAGCCTGCCCCAATATGTGGTGAGTATCTGGCACCTAGTCTCCAACCAGCTCCACTCTGACTGTCTACAATCTGTTTTGTCTTCGATTAGTTTGCATGGAATCTTTTCTTCCTAGTTCAAACAAATGTCCTTGAGGTTCTGACAAGTTTCCAAGTAAGTCATGACTATAGAGGAATATGCTTCTTTAATGCATTTATAACCTCCCTCAGATAGGCCTGCTGAAGCTCTTGCTGGCTGTAGCTCCCACCTCCAGAACTAATGTGGACTCCATCAATGTCCTGGCGGACGTGCTACCTGAGGAAATCCCGTAAGGGCCTGGCCTCCCCCACCTGTCGCTTCAGCTCAACCTCAACTGCTTTTAAATCAAATATATTGTTTAAATGTAAAATTTTATCATGTGCATGTCCGCGCAATACCTGTCCATGTTCACAGTCATGCGCCACATAACGACATTTTGGTCAGCGACGGACCGCATTCACGACGGCGATGCCATAAGATTATAATGGAGCTGAAAAGTTCCTGTCGCCTAGCAACATTGTGATGTCATGGCACAATGCATTTACCCGGGTGTTTGTGCTGATGCTGGTGTAAACAAACCTACTGTGCTGCCAGTTATACTGTGCTGCCAGTTATACAACATATACAATACATAATACTTGTTGATAACTGTTACTGGTTTATGTATTTACTATACTGTACTCTGTTGTTATTTAAGCTGTAGTATACAGTATATCCTAGGTGTCTAGTAGGCTATATCATCTAGGTTTGTGTGAATATACTCTATAAACCCTGTGAAAAAGCCCGGCACCGGCTCTGGCACCACATTGGTGGAAACGAGGCATGTGATTTTCTCACAGCGACGAAATCACTTAATGACGCATTTCTCAGATTGTATCCTCATCGTTAAGTGACGCATGACTGTATCACAAGTAAAACTGAGTGGGAAATACAGAACTGATAATAGTTATTTCCTCCTAGTACTTCTTATTTGTCAGTTTCACTTTGTGCATTTATCATATTTAAATACAATATTTCCCATTTAATATTAACTCCTTCACACTGACTTCATCTTGTTGCTAAACCATTTAGAGCAGTGTTTCCAAATCCGGTCATTAGGGACCCGCAGACAGTCCAAAGTTTTGCTCCCGAATGTGGACCATAGCTGTCAAGTCTCCCGTTTTGGCCGGGAAACTACCGTATTTTACCCCTCTTTCCCGCCGTCCTCCCGTATTAGTATTTTCCTGTAAATCTCCCGTATTATAATATCATTAAAAAAAAAATTCCTCTGCCTCTTCAAACTGAACTGTCAGTAGCCTCGTGAGAACTGCCACTTGCAGTAGTCTGCAGGTCATTTACAACATTAACCAGGTCATAAATGCGGAGGTTAAAATGGCAATGCTGTGTGCGGAAAACAACGTTACTTTCACCTTCTGTGACGACTTCAACAAGGATACAAAGTCTGCAACAAATCTGTATAAGTCATTAGTGAATGCCAGAGAGCCACATGAGTGAAGATGAGAAATTAAAAGAAAATGTGTAATGAAAATAAAACGTAAATGACAAGTGGTTATTTTAGATTTCTTGTACACCTGTCTTAAAATGTAAGGGATACTGGAGCTTGGTTGGGGTGGTGGGATGGCTCGCGGTGGGTGCCGGAAAATTTCTCTTATTTTCAAATCCAAAACTTGACAGGTTTGATGTGGACTGTCTGGCAGGGAGCTCAGAGGGCGTAAAAAACAAGGACCGACCATGGGTCCTGGAAGAGCTGATTGGGAAACACTGAGTTAGAAGATAGTTACTGGTGACAGATGGGTATCCGTATAAATCTGCTGGTCTCATCTGCCTCTCAGAATCACAGTCCTGCAGAGCATGAAGCTGGGTGTGGATGTGAACCGGCACAAGGAGATCATTGTCAAGGCTATCTCTGCTCTACTACTGCTGCTGCTGAAGCACTTCAAGCTGAACCACATCTACCAGGTCAGAGTGCCAGTCCCCCCCCCCAGGGTATGATAAGCAGAAGCAGGAGCTGAGGGACACAGGTGAGCCCTGAGTAACTCAGACCACAGCTAATTGAGCTAACCTCTTGCCTCTGTCGAAACTGAAACAGTATTGCCCTCAAACAGTGTTTCTCCTTTCTGTGGAAGAGAGGAATCCCAGGACGGGGTTTTCACACAGAGTGCTAGTGCTGCGGCGCTGTGTCTGCTAACAAGTGTATCGAACCCTATGATTAAGGTTTGGAAACATTAAAAATGTCCAGTGCGCCTGATGTTCCCAGAACGTCATCCCAGTGCTACAACTACTACTATAACTAAGACTAATTATATAAAAGGTAATGAAAGGCATGGTAGGGCAGGGGGTAACCCTGTTACTTTACACCGCTAAGGTTACGGGTTCGAGGCTGGACAGCACGTTTGTAGTATACACATGGAGCACTTTTATAAAATTATATTTTATATTAAACCAATATTTTTCAACATTAATTGCATTAAAAGGATGTTGAGGTAATAATGTTATCGTGCTGACATTGACGGAACCTTTGTTACAATGTAACACATGGAAATAACATTCCATTAATGCTACATTAAGAACATTCTGTGCCAAATTTGAGAGAACCGTCACATAACATTAGCTGAAGCTCTGTGAACGTTCCCTGTTAGCTGGGGTATTCGTATCGGCGTGACCTTGCTTAGCTGGGACTGAAATCGCCGTAGAGTTAACAGTATGTATGTTATGGTATATCGCCCTCTATAGGTCTGTGAAGGAAAGACCAGAATAATACCACTGGACACCATTTTCCATTAGCAGAATCTCTACACTTTATATGCTGGGAGTTTGAGACTGTTTGTTTGGTTGCAATCCTGAAGGACATAAATCATTAACGTGCGTTGAGGCTTCCTCTAAGTGCATTCTGAGAGGGTTAGTTCTTCTTATGGACCACTTGGTTTTCACTTATGGCTTTGCTCAGCAGGGGCATACAGTCCCTCACCACCCAAATGTCTCCTAGATGCACAAATGATCACTAGATGGCATTTCTAAACTTGGGCAAGCTTGTCTAAATGAACTGAACATTTAAAGGAAAGGCTAACATTAAATAAACATCTAACAACAAATGAACAACAAAAAACGTGTAACACTTTTCCTGCACCTTCATAATGCATTAATAGAACATTCAGCGCAACTTCAAAATGCATTCATAAGCAGCATATAAGTATACCGTAACATCCTAACATACATTAATATACACATTATCAAGAAACATTATAATCATAGAATAGTATAATGCTTGTTATTAATGTGTATTAATGCTTTTAAGGTATATTAGGTTCGATGCTGCTTATGAATGCATTATGAATGTATTATGAAGGTGCACTGAATTTTCTACAAATGCATTATAAAGACATTATGAGTGCAGTTAATGTAAAGCATTACCAAAAATTCTATAGAATTCATGACACAGGATATGAATCCTTTCACTTACCACAGACTGAAGTCTTACAGTTCTCTGTCCTATGCCTCTCTCCATCTCATTTTTTTCTGTTCTTTCCACTCTCCATCCAGTTTGAGTATATTTCCCAACATCTAGTCTTTGCTAACTGCATACCGCTCATTCTCAAGTTCTTCAATCAGAACATCGCATCCTACATCAGTGCCAGAAACAGGTATGCGCGAATCCCCTTCTGGAATCAGTTGGATGACAGTGACTGGTCTATGTGTTTGCATGTTTTCTTGTGTGTGTTTCCTGTAACCTTTCTCTCCACCATCTGACTTAGGATCGGTGTGTTGGACTTCCCTCACTGCGTTCTGTATGAGATGCCAGAGCTCACAGTGGAGAGTCTGGTAAGTCCAGCGCTCAGCTCCAATCAAACCTCATCCTCACTGCAACTCCGTTCCTTTATGTCTCCCAAAATGCAAATGAACTCAATTGCAGCAAATATGGAAGGTTCCCCTGATGACCACAGTCAACTTACAGTAGAATTTAAGAAGAATTACTATAGTTGTTTTAAAAATTTAGCAGGAGACTATTAGAAGGTTTTGAGTTTTAAGCTGGTCTTTAGATTTCCTCACTTCTATGGCCAGTGTTGAGGAAGCTACTGACAAAAGTAGTCCATTACAGACAGAAAGTTCAGGTCCAGGAAGTACAAATCCAGACCAAGGTTTTGTTTCAACCAACCAGTTGAGTACTCTGTGACTGTGACTCTTTATACTCAACTGGTTGGTTGAAACAAAACCTTGGTCTGGATTTGTACTTTCTGGACCTGAACTTTCCACGTCTGTGTGTAATGGATTACTTTTGTGAGTAACTTGCCCAATACTGTCTACGACTTTATGTTTGCTTTCTCAAGAGTGTAAGAGCAGTTCTTTTGGGACCTTTTTGAGTTAGTCCACCTACTTATAAGCCACACCATCTGCTGTGTGTGATACCTGCACACAGGAGTCTGGAGATGACACCCAGTTCTGCTGGAGGAACCTTTTTTCCTGCATAAACCTCCTGAGGATCCTCAATAAGGTCACCAAGTGGAAGCACTCTAGGACTATGGTGAGTTTTCAACAGGGACATGCGTCCCTTTATGTTGTACAGGATAAAAAGTCCATCGCCCTTGGTTTTGCTGCTCTGCTCTTTAATCTCAATATTGTCTTTCCTTCCAGATGTTAGTGGTTTTCAAGTCTGCTCCCATCCTCAAGAGGGCACTCAAGGTCAAGCAAGCTATGATGCAGCTCTACATTCTCAAGCTGCTCAAGATCCAGACAAAGTATCTGGGTCGACAATGGAGGAAGAGTAACATGAAGACTATGTCGGCCATTTACCAGAAAGTGCGGCATAGGCTCAATGACGACTGGGCTTATGGCAATGGTAAGACTGTAAGCCCCTACTTGTGTCCAAATATTGAATAGCCTGCTTGGTATAAAAAAGTACTAACATTTTGCCCTGTGTCCCCAGACTATTTAATAAAATAGTAACCATCCTCCTGTTATTGTGAAACATTTTGTGTGTTTTATAATTTAACCAAGCCTCAGTACGAAATTGACATTCTGAAGTACAGTACTCAAAGGTGCTATTCTTCACCTCTTGTAGGCTGGTATAATGTCACATATTTAAGATGTAAATTAGTGACCATTCTTAAGGGAAGGAGGATAAATCTATTTTGTTATTTGGCCACTTATAGCCTCAGTTGAATAGAGGGGATGACTTGGGTGGTCACCTCCTTAGTCAGCCATCCGTGTCATATGCTGTCTCATCAGAATGCTGGCATCCTTGCCTTTTCTTACCAAGTAACTCAGTAAAACTTTACTTAAAGCAGTCATCATAATGCATAATAAACAGGGCTATAATGTGTTATGCCTTTTTATAAATAGTTACAGCCATGTTTATAATACTTTATGAATGCATTATAATACTTTATGAATGCATTATAACGCATTGTGAAGGTGACTGCTTTAAGTTGAGTGTTACCAGTGGTTCTACAGCTTATGGTCTCCCACTCAGCAGCTGATCCTGTCTTCCCTCAGACATTGATGCCCGGCCATGGGACTTCCAAGCAGAAGAGTGTGCGCTGCGGGAGAGTATCGAACTGTTCAACAGACGACGCTATGGCAAGAAGACCAGAGGAGAGTTTGTTCCCGTGGACAACTGCCTGCAGAGTGTGCTGGGCCAGCGAGTGGAGCTGCCCGAGGACTTTCCCTATAGCTATGAGATGTGGCTGGAGAGAGAGGTGTTCTCCCAGTCCATCCAGTGGGAAGAGCTCCTGCAGGCTTAGTGAACTGGCAGTAGACCTAACAGCCTTTTGTGGTTGGATCAAGAGTGGAGAAAATACAGCAGTTCAATCATTATGTCAGTCATTTGACTGATTTGAAATACATGAGACTAAGTAACATCAGATATGTATAGTGATGCTGGAACACACTCTTTGTACACTTTGTAAAGCACAATGTCCTGATACTTCTTGTCAGTCACTTAAAATAAGCGTTGTTCGAGATAGAGAAGGTGAGGCTGCCCTTTGAGATGGGCCCTTCTGATGCCATGAGTGCATCATTTTCATCATGGGGAAGTGAAGAGCACTTTAAACAATACAAACCATTTTTCTACTGCATCCTTTTCTATGTCACACTGAGTCTACTTGCCCTAGTTCTGCTGTCCTGGAGACAGTGTATAGCATTCAACAGCATTCTCTTATTATTTGCATTCAACAGCAAAAATCAAAAAGCACAATAGGCTTAGTTGAGATTTGGTTTACATTTAGACCTGGGTTTCTGGTTTATTCATATTTGCCAGTTTCTGGAAATGCTATCTTGTTTAATGCCAAACCACTGACTTTGGGAGTAAAAAAAAACAAAAACAAATGTTGATAAACCGCTGTCATTTCAAGATGTGTTTTGTGTGTTTAGCAATCTGGAAATATTGTGTGGTATGCATTTCTGTTGTAATGATATGCTACTTTGCAATTCTGCACCTATGAGATTATCTCCTCTTCAGCATAATGTGCAATCAGTAACGTAGTTCATAATGGAATATAAATTAAAGAGCCGCCTGCTTTAGAGACTTGCCTTCTATTTCTTCTAACTAAAAAGATCTTTGCAGTGTTTTACTTCATACATTTCATTTGTACAGGTTTAGGCAAAATCCATGTACTTTACCCATTGTTACAGTGAATGAGGAGACACACTCTTACCACTGTGCTATGTGACTGTTAGTCATAACCTTATGTTATAGCTTAACTTTAACTTTAATAAAGTGGTAGGCGTGGAAACCACATGAAGCTCAAGCAAGGTACACAATGTGGCAGCTAATTAGCACAAAGACAAAGCAATTAACCAAATAAACAGGTTCAAGACTAGTTCTGAAGGTGGTAACATTCTGAAAGGGGTTATGCTGAATTTCGTGTGAAATGTTCTGCTCTGGGATTAAATTCAGATTATGTCATATGTAGACGTTGCACATTTCTTATTACTAAGGTGAACATATGTCCTCTTTTTTGGCACCTAAAAATGCCTGAAATATCTGGCATTTTGCTTTGTGTCATGTTGATATTTGCTTCCTACAGTCAGAATACTTTCTGTCATCATATTTGCATCTATTTGATGCCTCTCTTTGCATTCTGCCTCTCATGTCCTCTTTTTTGCAAAGCAAAATATGGTCTCCCTACCATTACATTTCATTCCAAACACATCCAGTGGAGGGAAAGCAGTCTCTTATTATTTGCAATTACTTTCCAAATCTGTGCTCTGCAGATGTCTCAGATGTACCTTGTCTTATCTTAAGAAAAGATAACCATACCCCACATAGCACACACTTTACTGCAAATGGAGGAATAAATAGAGCATCAATCTTCAGCTCCTTATACAGTTTAGGGCTGCAGATGGACTTATCTTAAGTGATAACTTCTTAATCTGGACACTTAATGAAAGTGCTTAAATTTGTCACACCTCATTTAGTAAGAAAACACAGGTTTTGTATAAAAATGCACTTAAGTTATAAGAAATTTCATGTGCACATGTTTAGGCAAGAACAATTATATGTGTCAAGGGATTTTCTCTCTTTTTTTTTTTTTTACTTGTTTGTCCCGTGGTTTTAATACAAACCTTCCCTTCTCAATATGGCGTCGCGGTGACTCCGCCGCAGTGACGCACTGCGCGCGGTGGGACCGGGGGAATCGGCGTTTTGCTGGACTGGCGGCTCTTTGTCCTCCATTAGCTAAAGCTCGGATTCCAGCCCTACACTGCACGGCGCAGGCCCGAAGTAGCGCAGCCGCTCTGAGGTTAGTGCCCTACCGCGCAATCTCCAGCTATTTCAGCCGCGGCGCAGCCGCACCAACAAACCCGGCAGCGGCGGGCTAGGGGAAAGATGGGGGAAAATGTCGACGCGTTTTAGCTGTGGGGTTGTGCAGATTAATTGACCCCATTTCAACGAAAGCCTCACGTTAATCTCATAACTAAGCCCAGACGAAACACAAATGTAGCCTCGGCGCCGCTACAGGCCGCAGTAGGCCTGGGTTTCTTACTATAATACTCATGAGAGGCGGGCTAACGTTGGGAACTGAAAATTACCCCAAAACGAAGAGTTGTGGGTTCGCTTGTAATATCGACACATTACACACTAGTAAAGTTAAAAAAATGTGTTCAATTTAAGGGTACGCCGCGTATTAATTATCTTTGCGCCATGCTAGTGAAGGCGAAGTAGGAAAACGCGCCGTTTGTTAATGCTAAGCAGCTAGCATGACCCGCCAACATCAATCAACCGGAAAGTATGGGCGCAGAGTACCGTGTAGCGAGATGTGCTTTTATACAAGTTGTCATCAGTTTAGCGCGTTGTATTATGCGTGCTTCTTCGTAGTTCAACATGCAAACGTAGTGACAAGTTGGTTCCCAGTGTTGGATGGTTAGATAAATATGCTGTCTTGAACTAATTCAACTAAATTGTGTAATTCAAATAAAAAAACTCTTTTTCAGAACACCGTAAAATTGCATGATTTTCTTGTGAAATTTGATGTGTATAGTTTTGTTGAGGGGAAGTGGGGGAAGTAATGGGTGGAATTATACCTTAGTTGAATAGTTGTCATTAATCTACGTTTCTCATCAATGCTGTGTTGCGGTGACAAAACAGTCATGTGAGCTGAGCGAACCAGTTAATTTATCCAAAACTCATATAAAAACAACGATTTCCACTAGTAAAATCTTTCTTATGGCAATATTGTTGTGTGTCTAAATTTTAAAATATTGGAACGTTCTCACATATATCTAGGCAATTCAGATCATTTAAATAAAGATTGATTTAGATTGTCGTAGTTATTATTTAGTTAACGTGTAAGAGTATTTCTCGAAAACGCTGCCATCACAATTCTTCACAATACCCTCTCAGTTGCACTGGATTGCAATTCTTTAGTACTTTACCAATCAAGTAGATTTTCCACTGCATATCTATTGACACGGACAATTTTATGAGTGTAAAACGACAGTAATTTGAAAGGTGGGAAATCAGCGGGCTGTTTTGGCGGTTTTTTCTATTGGCGTTTACAACATTAATGTGGGCCTACAACATTTTTGCAGTTAATTTACATAGGTAAAATTACAGTACAGTTCTTATGTATTGTATTATAAATAATAGATTATCAGTTGTAAAAGACAAGAATTCAAAAGTTTGCTTGGTTTCCCATTATAATTTTATCCAATAAAGTCACCATTGGATGACTGACTATCAAAGTGAACTCCCTTATTTCAAATACAATTTCTCTGTTGACCAACAGGACAGCTGGTCTATGTTTGCACTGATGGCTGTGTTTCTGCCTATGTGTTAATGTCAGTGTGACACAGGCTGTGAGCACCATGGATGAGCACAGTGTGCACCAGACAGATATTAGCACCATCGAGGCCCATGCCGTCAGCGGCCAGGTGCAGCAGGTTCATGTGGCCACCTACACAGAGCACAGCATGCTGAGTGCGGACGAGGACTCTCCCTCCTCACCCGAGGACGACGCCTATGATGACTCCGACATCCTGAACTCCACGGGCACTGATGAAGTTACGGCACACCTGGCTGCTGCAGGTAGGCTGACCCTGTGCCTGGATTTGCGCTTCCAGTGGACCTGTGAGGGAATCCACTCCTTGCCGCTGTGCTGTCTTACCATTGCATGTCCACTAGATGGCGCAAAATACTTTATCTAAATGTTCATGGTATAGTATTTACTATACATAAGCAATGGATCTATACTTTGTAGGTATCTGTACTTTTTCCTACATACAAGGTTACAAGGTGGAGAGGGTGCATACGTGTGTGCAGAATATGGCAATATGCAGTGTACATTCTATTTAATTTTTAACACTGCATTTCAGGGCCAGTGGGTATGGCGGCAGCAGCTGCAGTAGCAACAGGGAAGAAGAGGAAACGTCCACATATCTTTGAGTCCAACCCATCCATCCGCAAGAGGCAGCAGACGCGACTGCTCAGGTGAGTAACCCATTCCCACCTGAGGCTGTATATCACCTTGTTTTGTAAGTGTGTGTATTACGCAGGATATGTTGGAAGCCATATTGCTTAACAGCAAACTATTGCTATAGTGAGATTAATTTTAATAAAGGACAACATGAAGACAGCATTTTTAGTATTTTAACCTATGGCTATAAAGTTCCATAAATATGATGGTGTCCTTGTCTAGAACACTCGGTAAAGTTAGGTAACGTGCTGGACATCCAACCATGTGTCTACCTGATAGGTGTATCCCACTAAAGATCTGGGTGAGAGAAGGCAATACAGTGGTACTTTGGAACACAAACTTAATTTGTTCCAGAAGGCTGGTCTAGTTGCAAATTGGTTGAGTTCCAAGTCGAATTTCCCCATAAGAAATAATGTAAATGAATTTAATTCGTTCCAGATCCTCAAATGATTACCTATTTAAACTAATCTACCTACCTATCTAATGATAAAAAGCATTAACAATCAATATGAAGCTAATACACAAATGAAAAAGTAGACAAACAAAAGCGATAAACTTGAAATAAATGACAATCCCATACTCTGAAGTGGGAGCAGACACACGTGCGCCACCTTCAAATCTCACTGTAATTTCCTTTTTAGGTTCTACAGTTGCTCACTACTTTCCTCTTTGGTTTGCTGCTATCACTGCTCACTTTCTTAGGGGGCATGATTACTGTATCACTAAATGTACTGTAGATGAAGTACAATAAATTTCACACAGGAACACAGCTTTCACACGTCGATCTCGGTCGAGAGGTACCTCAAGACTAAGAGCGATTCATAGGCATCAGCATCCCAGTAGGTCGATCTGCATTTGTGTCGGCCCATCAGAGATGCATCTCCATCCATACAAGTTTTAGCGGGTCTGTTTTGTTTTGTTGTATTCTGAGTTTTCGGCCACGTTGCGGCTAGATTTTTCTCGACCTACCAAGTTCAAGGTCTGAATTTTGTTGTTGAATGCGTCTCAACCCATATTAGTTTAAGCAGGAATGGTCAAGTTCCAAGATTTAGATTGTGGGAGAAAAAAAAAAGTTCCATGTCTGAGTTGGTCAGTTTAAGTTCCAGTTGCAAAGTTCTACTGTATTCAAGACAACCTATGTGAAAAATGATTTTTCCATTGCTAACCACCAGATGGGGCCAAAGGCAAAGAATTCATAATTTCTCCGTCAGTATTTTTACCTTTCGGGAAGCAGGACCGAAGCTTGTGAGGTAATCAGAAGTGGTTTGTCTGCACTTCTCTGCAGAAAACTGAGAGCCACCCTCGATGAGTACACGACCCGCGTGGGTCAGCAGGCCATCGTACTGTGCATCTCTCCCTCTAAACCCAACGCGGTGTTCAAGGTTTTCGGCGCTGCCCCACTGGAGAACGTGGTGAGTCTGCTACACCACAAGCTATGATTTCGTGCCCATCTGCAGACTTTCCTTCCCCGTCATTCCACATGCAGCATGCTTACCGCTGTCCCTCGCAGGTGAGGAAGTTCAAGGGCATGATCCTGGATGACCTAGAGAATGCATTGGCGGAACACGCTCCCCCCGCCGCTGAGCTGAGCTCTGAACTCCCGCCGCTCACCATCGATGGCATCCCCGTATCTGTGGACAAGATGACACAGGTACCATACGCTCTGGCCGGAACGCTTCTCTTCCTGCTGTCATGTTCTGCCAAGCCTATCGCACGCAAGGGATTTTATTCTGAGTCGTATTTTTTGTCGTGAAGGATTTTGCTTACTGGTTTCCCAATAAGTCAATAGTGGTGCTTTTTCTGCTGCTTTTGTCCGTACGAGTTGCTGTTTTAGTAGCGTCACGTCTAATGCCGTGGTATTAGGCTGCTGCGATGGCATGATGCTGACACACTCCTAAGGGTCACTCCGGCTCCCCCAAAACAGCATCTGCTCTCAACCCTGGTGTGAGTGAAGTTTCCAGTAGATTTTTTTTGTATAGGATAAGTGGGTATAGAAAATGGATGGGTGGAAGGAGTGCATACCTGGCCTATCCAGCATTTAATCAGCCCCTACTAACAGCTGTCAGTAGGCCTGGTGTGCCGCTCTACAAACCGGCTGTCGGAGTGGAAGGGCTTCTGGGAGTGGTGAAGCCCTTGGCCCTAGGGAGCACCAGTTGACACCCAGGTGTGCACGGGCCTATAATTAGCTGGCCCTCCCAGCTCACCTGGCCCCAGTATCTCACTGATGATTGGCTCCCAGTGGACTAAAGCAGAAGCCAGTCTCCCCTTCACCTATAATTACACCAGCTGTCAAGGACGAGAGCCCGATTCATGGGCATTCTGTGTAGGTGGAACCCAAGATTTTCCTGAAGATCCTCAGTGGCTCACTGACCCGTGAATATCGTGTGTGCTGTTGTGGCCATGGGGGGTGGCAGGGAGTCAGAGTGGAGACCCCACAGTGGTGGGACAGCTTGCATGAACCAGACTTAAGGCGGAAGCCGGCTCACAGTCACTTGCTAGTCTCATTATACTAACAGACTTGGGCACAAGCAGATTGCAAACTCAGGCAATAAGCCACCTTGTTCTATCTTAAACGGTGGGCCAAGATAAGAACAATCTTAGTGTTGTGTATTGAGGTCCCAAGTGTCGCGTTAATTTAAAATGAAACGCAGAAAGTGTAAGATACGTCCTACACAGGACACTGTGCTGTGCATGACTGACCAATCCCATGTTGTGCTCCCTACTGCTGTCCATTAAATAATTGATGTTGGGGTTGGGTGAAGGCGTATATATGGTGTGTCATCAGGAGAACCTGATATGGGGATCTGAGTTCAGATTTTAAAACGACGGGATATCGTTTGCCAATATCAGCTGACTGTAACCTCTGTGGCCGCAAAGATGGGTCCAGCTTTAGGGCTTCATGTAGCTCAGTTCCAGGTGCAAACTGGAATGTGCTGAGGCTTCAAGACCGAACTGAGCAGATGGCTAGCCAGCATTTTGGTGATAGAATATTAGCCCCTGTAAAGAGGATGGGGGGTGGGTGCAAATCTGTGGGGATTAGCGGGGAGCCTGAGGGTTTTGTTTTTTGTTTAAGTCCAACTCGGGGCCAGAAATGCTCAGAGGGCTGTGAAATGGTGGTAAATGTGTCTGTCAGTTTGTTTGGAATCACCTTGCTGTAGCTTTGAGTGATGATGATGTAATCTTCCAAGAAAAGATCCCTCGCAAAGTTAACCTGTGCCTGCAGCACCAGGTCCTGAAACAGGACCACGTATGCTTGCCCGTTCGTATTAACTGTAAAAATTCACCATGTCCCGTCATGCCTCATGCTTGACGTAGCATTGAGTCAGGTTGATTCTTTACGGTTATGATTCGTCTGCCCCCATGACGCAGGCCCAGCTGCGAGCCTTCATCCCCGAGATGCTGAAGTACTCAACGGGCCGTGGGAAGCCCGGCTGGGGCAAGGAGAGCTGCAAGCCTGTGTGGTGGCCCGATGACATCCCCTGGGCCAACGTCCGCAGTGACGTGCGCACCGAGGAGCAGAAGCAGAGGGTGGGTTGGCAGTTGTGACCTCAGGCTACGGGGTTGGAGGCCTTGGGGGACATTGGTGGAATCTTAGGACAGGAGACTGACCAGCACTTTCCAGATAAACACCTGCTAGCGATGACACGCATGCAAAGGAGTGCACTGGTGGGGGCAGGCTGACACTCAGACAATACGGCGCTCTCCCGAACAGGTGTCGTGGACGCAAGCGTTGAGGACCATTGTGAAGAACTGCTACAAGCAGCACGGCCGTGAGGATCTGCTCTACGCTTTCGAGGACCAGCAGGCTCCCCAAACACACTTGACCACGGCCACCGCTGCTGTCACCCATGGCATTGCCCATCTGGTACCTTCGCAGACTGTGGTGCAGACCATTAGCAACCCTGACGGCACTGTGTCCCTTATACAAGTGAGTTTCTGTAGGGCCTGTGTTGGGGGACAAGAGCTTTGCTACCTGTGGCAGCCCTAGAGCAACGACCAGGATTTTGCTGTGCTTAGCGTTGCCGTGCTAGGTTAAGATGGCTTAGGTTAGCATAGGCTATGAGCTGGTAAGCTAGGCTAGGCTAGGTTGTGAAATAATATGGTATGCTAACAGCTGTTAGGATAGATTGGTGCTTTGAGCTCGTGCATTTTTTTTCTACCTTAGGCTGGACTAGGCTTGAATGGTCTGTTTTGGGTTGAGACTGGCCATGTTGGGATTGCAAACCCTTGATGTCTATTTTCTTAGATACCTAAACAGTCAGGCATTTTACCTATGATCTGTAGGCCCAGTAATGTTGTTGTCTGACTGCTATTATTTGACTTTTGTATGTGTTAAGGTGACTAAATACATGTTGGCCAGCTGTAATCTTCTCTCTGTGCTCAGGTGGGAACTGGGGCGACTGTAGCTACGTTAGCTGATGCCTCGGAACTCCCTGCCACTGTGACTGTGGCCCAGGTCAACTATTCCACCATGGCTGATGGAGAGGTGAGCGGGTCGGCCGGTGCTGCACTTCCGGCTAAAATGCTCCGGGATCAAGTCTGGGAATGCAGATGGTCCCTGTGAATCAATGCAGGTGGAGCAGAACTGGGCCACGATACATGGGGGAGAGATGACCATCCAGACACCCCAGGGATCAGAGGCCACGCAGGCCGTGGCGTCACTAGCAGAGGCCGCTGTGGCTGCTACGCAGGACTTGCAGGCTGGAGCCACGGTCACCATGGCACTCAACAGGTTCGTAGGCCTGTGGGAATCGGGTTATGCTGGGATGACTGGCAGGGGAACTATTGAGGTAGGAAAATAAAATTGATGGATCAGCACGTGTCCTGCCTGTTGTGTTATACTCACGCTTCTCACATTAGTGTAGTTTATGTAGCCAAAGAATGTAACAACAGAGAGATGGAGTTTATGAAAATGGCTTCTCAGAATATTTTTCTTGGAAAACACAAGTCGCATAGCCAGTGCAGGAAACGGTGATTTGGCTCTTTTGTAGAGCAACATGCATTATTTCCGGGTGATTTGGACCAGAGGCACTTATCAAGTGGAACATGCTTTGTGTGTGCGGGTACCAATGCTGTGTTGCATTATTAGATACGAAGGCTGAATCGTGATGGTTTAAGAGTAACAGTGGGCAAGGCAGCGGCAGTGTCAGCTCTTCTGGGCCGTTTCCACGATGTTCCTCCCTTGGTCTCAGGGCTGGAGACTTGTGCCCACACTCAGCCCCCCTTGGGGCTTGTTACCTGTGATCCCCAGGGCTCTGGGATGGCTGTTTATCACACAGAAGCACGATTTCCTGATTGGACATGCCTACCTTGTTTTCCGTGTGACCCTCTCTAGTGGCAGTGCCGGCCAGCAGTATGCGGTGATTAAGGTCACTGCATTAGGACTCGGAATTCTGTACTCTTAAATCCCACGGGATTCACTGCTGTAGGAAGTTGCCTCAAATTATCTCATTGTCTTGGGATATATCCAGCTTTGTTGCTGGGTAAATTTGATATGCATGAGGTCATTTATGGATATGTAAAAGTTTTTTTTTTTATGATGGTTTACTTGAGTGGGTTTAAATTCAATTTTTGGCTGCAGTCCAATAGGAGAGCAGCATTTCTGTATAAGTACTGGCTTTTGTAAGGTGTACGTTCTTGCTCCAGCCTTTAACTTTGTTGTCGTTAGGCCAGCAGTCTGGTCCTGGAAAGGGGGGTGGTATTTTGGCCGTTTGCCTGATGTTAACTCATCAGGGCAATGGGTGGGGGTATTGTGGACAGGTGCTGAGACAGATTTCCTCGCCAGACTAGGGCAGAAAAGCAGCTTACAATCTCCAAGCTGCCTCAGCTCTACGCATACTCTTCACCCCCAACCGTTCATTTGCACTGCTCTCAGCACTGCCTAATGACCCCCTTTTTAGGAATTGTCCCCAAAATTCGCGGGGTGGGGCAATTGGTATTAACCCTTTTACCAAACTAGAGCCAGCCACCTAGCCTGCCATTAGAGACTTGCTTGACACGCATAACTAAAGATTGGTGAACAGTTTAGGGCATACAGTACCATGCATCCAGTTTCTGGGTGACATCCTTGAGCACTGATGTTTTGTGTCTCCGTTGTTGAAATTTCATGAAGTTTCATATCCAAACTATTGGAAAGACGTCACTGATTTATTTGATTGTGAGAAATGTTTTAATGATCCTTTTATATACTGAATGACTGATTTATTTTTGAATGACTGTGGTGGTGATTATGTTTTGTGAAGAAGGGTCGATGTCACCGCTAATTGGATTTGGATTTAAGTTGTTCCAGGACTCGGTCTGTGCGTAAGGGTAAGATCGGTTATGCTCTGCCTCTTGGGAGCGGTAATCTGAAGGGGGGCATCTCTCCTCACAGTTTGCCCTGTATTCATCTGCCATCATCTGGGTTTCCAAACTTCTTTGCTGTTGATCCCGGTTAGGCTCAGAAGTGGCTAGCACTCAGCATGATGCACATCTGAACAACTGAAGCCACGTTCATAAAAACACAGCATCAGCCTGACATGCTTCACCTCGTTTGACAGCCCTTCAAACCTCTCTTGTGCCAGATCCAAGGGGAAAGTGTGTCTGAAGTTAATCAGCAAACCAGCAGGGGGCGCTGTCTCTGCAGGGCACTGTAGTGCCTTTTGGTCATTGATTACTCGCCTTCAGCCTTCAAGGCCAGTGTAGCTGTCTCCGGCTCCACACCCCATGTTGATAGCAGCTATCAGAGCAGACTTGAAATACTCCGCATCTACTCTGCTCATGGGATTATTTTAATCCTGAGGCTGGCTGAGCAGGAGCGCAGAGCAGACTGGAGATGAGGGCACCCTCCCCCCCCCACGCCCCCCAAAATGCATCAGGCTTGCTCGTGACCAAGGGCTTAAAAGTAAAAAGCCTGGGATTCTGTTAGTGTGTCATCTGTTGTCTTGCTTATGTTGCCTCCCAGGTAATGGATAAATGTGCTGATGAATACCAGTGTGTGTTTTTGCAGTGAGGCAGCAGCCCACGCAGTGGCGACACTTGCAGAGGCCACCCTGCAGGGCGGGGGGCAGATCGTGCTGGCGGGGGAGACGGCGGCTGCAGTGGGAGCTTTGGCCGGCGTGCAGGACGCCAGCGGTAGGTACCTAAGGCCCTAACGGGACCTCTAACCGCACAGAGGGCACCTCACTGTACAGTTTGTATAGGTCTCAATGCAAAGCCATTAATCCAAACATCAATTTATTTCGCTGTACTGGCGAACAGGGCTCATATATTTGCAGGTACAGGCTACAGTTAGGAATGAAAGCAGAGGATGTTGTGCTGATGACTATAATAATGATATTAATAATGGACATGTGAGTGCTGCTTAAAACAATGAAGCTCAGGTTAATCCTGGCCAGCTGGAGACCACCTCTCCCTCACTTCTCTTGGGGGTTGGACATTCTAATCCATGGGGCTCCTCTGGGACAGATGGTGCACGTACATGTCCAGTAGATCTGTGTGATCCAGCCTAATCCATCAGAAGTGGATTCCAGCTGCACGCTTCACCTTCTGTGAGCTTTTTTGTGAGTCTGAGTCCACCATCCCCCCCCCCCCATCCAGAAAGGTGGCACAGGGCCCGAGTGAGTCAGGGCTTCCTCCCTTCCCCATTACCTGACCACTCCATTCTGCTCTCATTCCAGAAGTTTGTCTATTCCTGGATGTTCCTTTTACAGAGCAGAGCATTTTTCTCAACAGCAAGTGCCATCCTGTATGTTCTAGCTATGGCCTTTATAGATAAAATGAATGTTACCCGTCATTATTACGGAGATAGATGCTCCTGTGATTGCGCCAGCGGACAGACAAATCCCACTTACTCTTCTGTCTCTCTGCAGGACTCGTCCAGATCCCCGTCAGCATGTACCAGACTGTGGTCACCAGCCTCACGCAGGGTAACCGCCCTGTGCAGGTGGCCATGGCTCCTGTCGCCACACGTATCGAAAACACAGTCACTCTGGACGGGCAGGCGGTGGAGGTCGTGACCTTGGAGCAATGACGCTGACTTCACTGGATTCCCTTGCGTTTCAAGTCAGGACGTGCCAATCTCCCCCGTGTTCTCCTTTAAGAGAACCATACTTGAGTCGGTTGGGTTTCCTTAGTCTTGTTGGATGTGACTGAGTAATGTACAGATGCATTTGTGTAAATATGGTTAGAGTAATTTTTTCCACATCCTTTTTAAGCATTTTTTGGAAGTGCATGAGGCAGACTGGGGATTTCACAGGTTATACATTAACAGCTTACAACACACTAGAATTTTTCCCCCCCTATTCAATACCAATAGTCCTCATAATTTTGGACACATTTCAGGCCTCAGATTCGTCAGTAAAATGCCTCTAGCTGGTGCTATAATCACCGTGCCCTCTGCTTATAGGCGCTGTGTCATTCCTCAGGTAGATACACATCACCAGACGGACTTCTTTTAGTGAGTACATTGCTCACTATAAAATTCCAGGTAAAACAGACCAAGTTGTAGAAGGCAGGCAGATGCTCAGACTTGGAGCGTGTGATGGTGGTAGATTCCAAACCAAATGTACGAGTGTTTGAGGGTTAAGCTGCACTCCAGGTTTCTTGTCCCTCGAGGATCTTTGCCAGGACAGCTGTGGGTAGTGCCCCCCCCCCCTCCTACCCCCATGGGCCAAGAGGTCATGTGCTGAGTGGGGGTCATCTTTCAGAGAGATGCATGTGTTGTGTGTGGGAACCGCCCCACTCCCCTAAGACCCCAGTGGACAGGAAACCGTTGAGTTTATTGGGCTTGTCCCAAGCAAACACTCCAGTATGTACTGGCTGGTCCAAGGCTGTGGGTGCACTCACAGCGGTTCTGTTTGGAAGAGCAGTGTGGACATTACTACTTTGGTTTAATGACTTTAGGAAGTGCTTTCTCTTGTATTTACCACTTTATATGAAATTGTCAACATTTGTTAGTGCTGATATGTATTTCTTTCATGCCAGATCTTACCTCAAAAGGTGTGTGTTTTGAATAATGTTAATTGTGAATAATAATGTAAGTTTAACATGTCTGGTCTATTCGGCCTTTTGAACTGATCAGAATTTAGAGTAGGTTGACTTTTTGATGCAAACCCACGTGAAGCATGCAGTTACCTACTAATCAAAGTGGACAGTTCTTCAATAAATCATTTAATGTTCACAAAAAAAAATACTTTTTTTGTTCCCAGTGAGTTTAAACCTGATTTTAAAAATCCAATTAAAATGTTTTTTAAAAAAAAAACTAAAAAACTTTGGGTTTGGGTTTTTGACGGCACTGGTAGACCTACATCGCACTGGGAAAATACATCTGGGGCAATGTTTCCCCCCATCCAGTCAGAAGACCGCTTTAAATTAGAAAAACCCAAATACACATTGTCACCAGTTTGGTACAAGTTTAATTATAAACTCACATTAAAAATGCTAATAGAACGGCACTTTATGCTAATACAAGGGGGATATGTCGAAAAATCCAGCCCTAGGCTGTAGTCTCTCCAGCACCTCCTGGTTCTGGCCCGAGGTCGCAGCAGCCTCAGTACCCTTGTGAGCTGACCAGGTGACATCTATCATTATAAGATACGCAAAACAATTCAGCTTGCTCCTCTTGATCTGGAGTAGCGGAAGCTCTGTTATGAGGTTCCTCTGGATTGTCACAGTCTGTAAAAGAGAAGCCAGAAAGTATGCAGAGAAACCTCATTTTGGCCAGTTGTACTAGTGACATATGTCTGTGTAGTTTCTTCAAGACGTTCCACCTCTCATCCGAATGGTTCCTTCATTTCTGAACTTTTGGATGGGAGGTGAAACGTCTTCAAGAAATTGAAAAAGTTCAGTTGCCTTCAATTCAAGCCCTTAAGATGGTACTTGTGACCTTCTCTTTTCAGTCATTACCAACAGCTGGTGACCTAAAGGTGAGGATGGAGACAGATTTTGTTCTCTCTTCACCGCCACAGTTCTGCAAAACCATGGTCACTAAACAAATCTGCCCTTTTGCTATCATTCATGAGCAAGATCCTGTGATATTTCCTCACTAAGGAATGACTCTCATCTCAGCTGAAAGGAGAAATCCATATTTTTGAGAGCGCACCAATGCCTCAGATTTTGCTAATTCTAATCCCTGCCACTTCTCATTCAGCATCACACTGTGTATGTTAGAGGTCCTGGTGACATGAGGCCAGAGGTGTGGCAACAGGACATGCAAGGAAGGCGATTTCCTGGGGCCCTGAGTGGAGAAGGGCCCCCCCGAGGGCAGTTCATTTCCGAGTACATTGCATTGACAAATCTGCTTTATTTGTGTATTCTGTTTTCACAAAAGTGAAAATAAAGGACTTGCATTTATTAAATTCTGTTTTTTTTTACATTATTAATTTACACTTCAGGCTAAAATAATGGTGATAAATTTTGCCATATCGGGGGGAAGGGGAGTTCAGGGGTCCTACGGATTGCCTTCAGGTAATGCTGTACTGCAGTGTTTCCCAATCTGGTCCTTGGGGACCCCCAGGCCGTCCAGGTGATGAACCTGCTCTACAGCGTTCCTCACAGGTGATGAACCTGCCCTACGGCGTTCCTCGCAGGTGATGAACCTGCCCTACGGCGTTCCTCGCAGGTGGTGAACCTGCGCTACGGCGTTCCTCGCAGGTGGTGAACCTGCTCTACGGCGTTCCTCGCAGGTGGTGAACCTGCTCTACGGCGTTCCTCGCAGGTGAACCTTCTCCACGGCGTTCGTCGCAGGTGATGAACCTGCTCCACGGCGTTCCTCGCAGGTGGTGAACCTGCTCCACGGCGTTCCTCGCAGGTGGTGAACCTGCTCTACGGCGTTTGTCGCAGGTGATGAACCTGCTCTACAGCGTTCGTTGCAGGTGGTGAACCCACAGGAGGGTTCCACATGTCCATTTTAGGTAAATGTGAAGCATAAGAATGACACCCTCCATCAACATTGTCAACAGAGCATTTTGTAGAAGAACAAATTGTCGAGCCCATTTGGAGTGGCAGTTTAAAGTAAGCAGGTGCCAGAGCTATTGATTCAACACCAGTACACTTCAGCTCCCCTGGGGGAGGGGCTCTTTTGCCTGGAGCCCTGCACACATGGGGGCAAAGCTTTAATCTCCGCTAATAGTTTCTTATCACAGGGGCTTGTGTTCCCCCACCCCCTTCAGCCTGTCCGCAGTGGTACAAGGACAAATCCTAATCCTTTCCTTACCATTGCCTTGTTTGTGCTACTACTAGCCAACAGAAAGGTGGGGTTCGAGGCCCCCGGCCAAGGGACATGCCAACGAAGTTCATGTCAAAAATACTGAACCACCTGGGTCGACTGCTCTTTGACTACAGAAGACTTATCAGCATTATAGACAACATTCGACTAGGGTAATTTAACAAAGGGTAATGTTCCATCATCTTCCATAATTACTTGTCTAATGCAGGGCTCTGGTGAGTCCATCCCAGGAAATGCAGGGGACACCCTACATGTGCTGACAAGCAATTCCCCTTAAAACTACAAAAACATGACCTTGTTAAATTTCCACTTAAGTCATTAAGGTTCAATACCCGTCTAAAGAGCACCTTCCCTTCATAGATATAGACCAGAATCTTTGTTAAATGTTTGGTCCCAAGCACCACCCCCCACCATTTCCGTCTAATGGTTCTTCCCTGTCCCCAGAAAACACATCCGATGGGTGAGACACTCTCTGCCCACGCCACTTGCAGTCAGCACCACTCTATACAGCTAATAATGAGGAACATAATCACATTTCGCTAATGTCTGCTGTGCATTAGCAGGTAGTTTGTCCGGCTCGCCGACACCCAAGTGCCTCTCAGGAAAGCCTGTGGGAGATGCGTGTCTGCTGGCCAGGGGCAGGGAGAGTATGTGAGACAGTGAAACTGGACTCCGAAGCTCCCCCCAACTCCAGTACCATCAGATATATAAATATGGGGGGGGGGGACAATGATCATAAGTAAATGAAAGGTACCAGAATCAACACTGGTACTGTGGTAGAAATGGACTAATGTCCAATTTTACTTCCACAGTACTTTTCAGGATAGTTCTTGAATTGGCTTAGCACGTACGCACATAACATTCACTGCAACCTCTAGAAATCATTCTGCATTCAGTATTGGGTATGGATTAGCTTCCATGATAGCCCACTGCCGTAAGAGCCCAGAACTGTGGTACAGGTGTTTCTGAGCAGATTTCATAAAGCTTTCAAAGTAGAATTGGGTCAGCACAACCCAAGATCAGGCACCACCCTTGTTTATCACGGGGGATTGGTAGAGCCACCTAGCTGTGAAATGGTACATTCCATGGGAAACATTTGTACCAGTGTGGTACATTAATCCACAGGCTTCTTGCCTTAGCCTGCTAGCCAGGCGAATCTCACTCCTGGGCTGCTGGCGAAAACAAACGATTCATTCAGGCAAATAAAGATTCCGACAAGGTCATCCTTTTCCTGGAACTTAATGGCGGGTGTAAAACGACACTACACGGTCAGGTAATTGTGACACAGGTCTGGAGCGGCTCTTGCCAAAAATCTAAAAAAAGAAATGAAAGAGACACACCCATAGTGGAGTGGGGGGAATTACCATTAACACCCTGCTTATATTAGCTATTTCATTAAATGTACACTGATTTCAACACTTTCTAAACTTCTTTCAGAACAGCAGTACATGCCAACACGAGCAGCTGAGAACTTGGAAGCCCGAAACGAAAATAAAGACAGGCTTCACTCCCAACTTCCAGAGTGCTGAACTGTAAAACTGAACCATTAAAATAACAAACAAGAAAAGGTTGCACTTTGCGTGGTCGGATGATAACTTGGAAGCCCAGCAAAATAAAGTATAACACATAAAGAGCAGTGAAAGTTGTCTACCACCTACTATACCTAGCTACCCAACGTTCCTGTATGTCGCATAAGCCATAAGTACAACATTGTCTCTGGATGCTCTGAGACTGAGGGCAACAGAGTGGCACTTCCTGTTTCAGCCTCTCTGTACTGCCTACAGTCACTTGCTTTCCATATTACCAGACGTAGAAGCGAACGGATGCTAGCCTCAAGTCTTCTTTCTGTTTTCTGAGGTTCCGCAGGGAGAAACTCACAGGAATAAGTGATGTCTATGAGGAGCAAGGGACTGGGCCAAAGCTCTCAGGCAGTAGTTGGCAAGTCTAGAACCACCGGATCCATGTACCTCACCAGTGTGAGTTCTACCATTGCCAAACACCGCCAGAGTCTGCAATGCATTCAGGAATCTCTGTAAAATATCAAATTGGCAGGTCGTCACTGGGCCCCAGCACCACAAAGCACGCAAGCAGACACAGAAGGTTGAAGAGAATCATTATAAGATAGATGCAGACTAGTTTGAGGAACACTTTGAGAAGTAGAGTCAAATACAGAAAAAGACAGACAAAAAAATTCTACAACCTGAAATTAAATGTTCTTACAAGTCCAATTTGAAGAAGACTCATTGTTAATTAATCTTGGAAAGAAAGCCATTGGTGGATTTGAAGAAATTAGTGTAGAAAAAAAAATCCTAGACAGCCGCTAAAGATCTCATCCTGTTTCATTGGCCTGCTTCTTGCAGGCTGGAGCACAGAAATCTCCTGAGGGCCAGAAGAAGTGAAGACGGGAAGTATGGTGTCTTCTTCCTCAGTCACCTCATCATCAACATTCTTCTGGAGCCTTGCAATGATTCAATAGGACCATTTCCCAAAAGAGCTCCACACATCCATCAAATATCAGCCACCACATGGGAGTCTGAGGCTCAGGTTACAAGAGGCATAGAATCAACGACAAAAAAAAGACCTCTACAGCAACCAGAGGACAAGGCGATCGATTGGAACAATCCTCCATCATATGGAGCTATTGCTCAATGTAGACTGGAAAAAAGACATAAAGACGACCAAAGAAAAAGTGGGATCAGCTTTACCGGGATAATGAAAACACATACTGACACGCGAAACAAACAGTCAGCCTACCTGATACAAAATCCTGAGGTACAGCATTTACAAGAGATGGTGAAACACCACTGACATAGAGGTTTTCACAACTTATGATTATGCAGAAAAGGAAACTAACAGAATAATAAGAGTAAAGATGAAAGAAATTTCTCCCACAAAGGCGATCATTCAGATGGGGGTGCACTAGATTCTTCGCCATGACTGAGCAGAGATGATTTCATCGTCTCAAAGCAAAGCGAAACCATTCTGGATACCCCATTTGTAAACTGCAAGGTCCTTTTACCCGAAATGCAGATATGACATGATCCAAGTTATAAATATTTGACGACATATCGTGTCACTACTGAGAACACTTTATAGCGGAAAAAGGCCTCACACCGCTCTCCATGTGACCAAAGATGTCGCTGTGCGTCTGTCTTTTCCTATATTGGCACTACACATAATTGCTCAAACGGTATATACAGAAGCAAAAATGTGCTAGTGCCAAAATGGGCGAAGAAGGGTGAGGTAGGTCATCCGGAACCTTAAGAGATTAATGGAATTTTAGCCAGTGAGCGGCCTGCGTCATCCTGAAACCCCCCCTTCAGTAGAAAAGGGGGCAATGAATTTGCCACCACAGATAGAGACAAAAAAGTAAAAAAAAATTTTTAAAAAAATCAAACGGGCACCACTGTGTGGTTCTTTCTCTGCTCTGTTTATGGCCCTATGGTAATTCACTGATGGTGCGCTTTCACAGTGAATTCTACCAGTGCCATACACAGAACAGGAGTCGTCGTCACCCCGGGGGCGAGCTGGGGCACTGCGCAGGCAGGCTGCGAAGGAGGGCGGGCGGCTCTGAGGATGCACCGGAGTAGGAGGGCCTTAAAGGGGAAGGTGCTCGTAATACTGAAGGGAGTAGAAAGGCTCTGCAGAAGGATGGCTCTGGTGGGAGAAGATTAAGGGCATGGAACGTCATGATACGGACGCGCCAGACGGCGCTACTGACGTGGGCTGGGCAAAGAAACGCAGGCAGCGGCAGGATCTTTGAAGGAATTAAGTAGGTGGAAAAAAAAAAATCAATGGAAGAAAAGCTTTGAATTGTATGAGTAATGCAAGTGTGGTCCCCTTGTGCCGAAAACCCGTCTAGTGCTTTAATCACTGAGTCCGTCGTCTTGGAAGGAACTTGAGCATATTGTGGAAAACCGGCAGTGGGTCATACAAGGACATGTTGTTTAGCTTCAGATGGAAGCAAGGTCAGTCTGTCATTCCCCAAAAAAACTCCCATGGACCTTCCGACTTTGTCAGAAATTAAGGACACATAATACTTTATCCTTAATAAACACTACAAAGGATGTTTTTAAAAATGCTCATGCAATCACAGTATGAATGCTGAATGCAAGCAACAATGGCT